GTGGTACTTAAATGAAGTTAGTTACTAGAGGAATGCTAAGATAGTAATTCGTGTCATATCAGAACAGCAGATTTCCATCAGTCTTTGCTGTGCACATTAGAAACTTCCCTGCAATGCTGCTTGTAAGATGCAATCAGCTGAAAGACACACTGGTGCTGTACTAATACTGTTTTCTTATGACAATGGCAAATTCATAGCCCAAAACATTCATTACATCAGAAATACAGAAATAGCTATGATGTGGCCACAGATCATCAGTTTCCTCTTCACTTAGGCAAAACCCAGCAGTTGGTACTTATTCTTGGTAAACCTTTTGTGTAGACCTTTATAGAAAAGTTCACCCACCTTAGCTCTCTCCTACTTGACACAGTAACAAAGAACATCTGATTTCAGAGTTTCGTCCAGTGTGATGTAGGTACTGGATAAGACTACAGCTTGAAGTATTTTTAACCTGTTTTCAGTATTCTCACAAGTAGATGCCAGTAACATGGCTATGTTATGAATTCAAACCATGCTACAATTTAAAATAGTGTTTTTCCTCAACAGATCATCCAAGTGTCTTCACCATGCCTGAAGCAGATATGAAGAGAATCGTGTGGGTGTTATCCCTTCCTATTATTACACTACTCTATTTGACTATACCAGATTGCAGAAGACAGTTTTGGAGGAACTGGTTCATGGTGACATTTTTAATGTCAGCAGCATGGATTTCTGCCATAACTTACGTCCTAGTATGGATGATAACCATAGCAGGTAGGTACCTTAAGTGCCGCTGCTAGGCACAGACTCAACCAATTGAGAATCACTGAAAAAAACCAGTTTTTTCCCCGGTGAAGTTTTCCTTTCCACAATTAACAGTCAGTTTAGAAACACATACTTTGCTTAAAACAACAAACCCAACAAAAATATATGTTTGACTACTTAACTTGCCACCTTCTTCAATATAATGAAAGCCACTTTAGAGTTTAGCTGCTTCAGACTGTTTACCAGCACATGAATAAGGAGAATTTGTTTATATAGCTATAAAAAAAACCAGCCTGTATTTAAAAAGAGAAACTTTCATGACACTTCATTAAGTGAAATGATTAAATACACAAAAATAGACTTGTCAAGCTGAAGTCTGACAAACAAGTAATCCACCAAGACTGGAATTAAAGGTACAGAGTTCTATAAAAGAACTATTATTTCTATACCTGTATTTTTTCTTGAGCGCTACAGTAAGAGATTGGGTATTAAATTAACTGCCAAAAGCATCTCCTAGATTTTTGTACTAATTTATTACACCTATAGCATCACAGGTTTATTAAACATTTTTGGTGTGTATGTATACCTCTTATAAATCTTAATCATAAAGTAGTAAAAGAACTGCACTGGAGTGAGATAAGGGGTAAGAAAACTTCTGTGTAAAAACATTCTCTTAAAACTATCTTCAAGTATTAAAGATCTCATTTCATTGCTTCTCCAGTCAGCTTGAAAAAACAATCCAGTTTTTAATTTTAAGAGCAAGCAGCAAATAAATCTCTAAACAAGAAAGAAAGGTTACAAAGCTTGCTATTTCCACATTTGAGCTCACTAACCCTACTCAAGTATTCTGCTAGTTCAGCATCCTAAAGTTGTTTTCAACTTAAGTTTGATGGATAGCTCCTTGTTCAGTGCAGAAACAGACGCATTTGGTAAACCTTTGCGAAATGACTAGTAGATCAACTAGTGAACCCACCGGGTTCACTCCCTGGTCAAATAATTTTCCACTTGTATCTAGGGAGCAAAGGTTTACTGTCTGAATGCTAGAAGCCTTCAAAATAGGACTCAAATGAAAGTTATTGCTGTGCTAGAAGACAAAGCACTAATCCATGTGAAAGCAGGTACACTGGAGATTCAGATAGTGCATTAGTGTTAGTCCACTTTGAATAGTCATCACAAGCAGTACTGGGGTCTTTAGCCCACTACTTCTAGGTCCAATATATTCTATTTACATGTTGAAACACTAAATTACACACATTCTATTCAAGTCCAGGTTCTTTTACGAAGGGTGACTCAAAGATTCTGTTGAGGCATAACAGCCTATCAGAACATCACAAAGATATCGTAACTGGGGACTGAATTTTGACCATCGAGAACAAACCCTAGTGACTTTTCTGTTGCTAGCATAAAAAAAAACAAAGACTACAACTTATAGCAAGATATTGCTACTAACACACAAAATTAACTAAAGGCTAGAAAAATAAAACCATTCTCTATTTATGTCAGTTGCCAGAAAAAAAAAAAAAACACAAACAACCCTTCACATTAAATAGAAGATAAATCTATCTAAAATAAAAACTTAGATTCACCTGAGTTTAGATTCTATCTGATAACCTTCAGAGGGCTAGAAACCACTACTGGGTACAACACGGAGGGTTCATTCATATTTCACATTGGTCTGCTTGGCATAAAGCATTATTTTCCACTTGGATGGTTTATAAAAGCTGATCTTGTTGGTCCCTCATCTTACAAATTTCTTACATTAGGAGTGATGGGAGAATCAACACCAGTACACATTCTGCAACAGGATTGTATTAGTCCCTCTGAACCAACAGTTTCAAACATAAATTTCCTTAAGTGATCCAGACTACGCTGGGAGGTACAGGCAAGCACTGCCTCTTACTTTAAGAAAACTGCTCTTATTACTGTCCACATATTGCAAATAAGAATTCAGATTTCAAACTCCCCCCCCCCCCCCCCCCCCCAATGTATCAATGCTTTTAGTGAACAGAAAAGTTAAATAAAAACTAATTACTTAATAGTCTAAATAGCGATATCAAACACTTCAGCCTATTGATGCTTGTGAACAGTACAACCACTAAAATAGTTCTGAAGAGCTAAATCTCTGTATTTTGAGAAATTAATATGCTTACAGGACATGTGGGGAAAAAAAAAAGTGGGGGAAATAAGCTGCCTTTTTAGTAACAATTTAAAACTTCTTAGTTTAGGTCAGTATTTATCTAAAGAAACTCGCACAAGGATAACTTGCACTTAAAAAGTCATACAAAAATTCTGCATTATGCTTCTTCCAAATCCAACTAAATCCAACACAAAACCTAACTGGAGTGAAATAGTAAAGCCATGTAGTTGAGACAGGATTGAAGTCATGATCTTAATGACCCTCCTCCCAAGAAAATTCATCTGCTTTTTTCCTACAACTATAGAGAGGGTGACTGTAAGAGTTATCGCTTCATAAGACTTTTGAGCACCAATCACAATATGCCCAAAACCAGAAAACTATTCTATTTCCTAAAAGTTGGGGGGAAGAGTAAATTGTTGGATATTTAAACTTCTCCTGTACCCGAAATAAAATATACCATAACTGGTATTGTCTTGACCACTGGAGACATTCCACTCAGGCTTTCAAGATACTTATTAAGCAAGATGGTTACTATGCTACAATTCCTTTTGTTATTTCATTGAAGAACATGGACAGGATGCTATTTGTTATTGTTCTTAACTATTCATGGTTCAGTCATTTCCTATTTAGTCAAGTTAGCTGACACATTCCTTTTAAAATTACTGTATGATTACTAATTCTTTCTCCCCAGCAAACAAAGTCCAAAGCAATTTCTTTGGACGAAACTTTAACTAAAAACATACTTGTATTTTCTAATGTTATTTATCAACTGCAGGTGAAACACTGGGAATTCCAGAGTCAGTAATGGGTCTCACATTACTAGCAGCAGGAACAAGTGTACCAGATACAGTTGCAAGTGTGCTGGTGGCTAGAAAAGGTAAAGATTTTAGTATTCAGACTCATTCCGATGGATGTGTTTAAAAGTTACTATTAAAAAAAAAAAAAGAATTTTGAGTCAACACTTCCAAGAAATTCAAGAAGTAACTTCAAAGTTTCTGCTCCAGATTCTAGAGCTGAAGTTTACTACTAATAAATAAATATCTTACCTGAAGAAGCTGTGGCTCAGACATTCAAAAACCTCTCAGGGTATCTCAGAGAAGTATTCTAGATTGGTTTGATTTGTTGTTGATCAAGTGTTACACTTTTACTGCAAAACACAACTGTAGGTCTTGGGATTTTTAACATGACTGGACTTTACAACAGACTGCCTAGCTTATTTTAAGTGCAACTGCGCAGATGCTGGTGATTTAGGGAGACTTTTTTTTAATGCTTGTGATACCCAAAACCATGTTCTGCAGAATCATGAGTATAGTTCTTTCAATGAAAAGTCTGAAAAGGGTGCTCTGTGAGAGACTGAGGGCTGACAGTCTGTTCCTCCAAAACAGTTTGGCAATTTTGTACAGTACAATACAATGACACAGACTTATTTGTATTTCTTCTTTTACAGGAAATGGAGATATGGCTATGTCTAACATTGTAGGATCCAACGTATTTGATATGCTCTGTTTGGGAATACCCTGGTTTATAAGAACTGCCTTCATAAATACATCAGGACCCATAGAAGTAAACAGCAGTGGTTTGACATACACAGCCATTTCTCTTATCTGTTCTGTTGTTTTTATTTTCCTGGCAGTTCACCTGAATGGGTGGAAAATAGATAAAAAATTGGGAGCAATTTGTCTTGCACTGTACTTAGTATTCACTGTATTATCAATTTTATATGAACTTGGCATCATAGGGAACAATCCTACAAGGGTCTGCGGGAACTAGTTTTAATCAGAGATTATACTGATTAAAAAAAAAAAAAGATAAAGACCAGTTTCTTCATTTAGTCAAAATAATAATAAAATAAAAAAAATCCAAACTCCCATTGGGCTCTAACTCTTATTTACAGAACTAAGTCATGTCATTAAAGTCATACTAAGTAGAACAAAAACATCACAGCCTAATTGGAGCCCTTTCTTTTAGAGTCAAGAATTACAGTATGAGGACAATGCACATGTAAAACCAAAATTCTGGAAAAATAAAAGAAAAAGGCATCTAGTTTTTACATTACAATGTTGATACACACTGGGGGGATAAAAATAAGAAGACACTAAACAAATCCCACTATGCAATCTTGAGATTAACAGAGAAAATGGCTTATTTTATTAAAAACAGTATAACCATTCATTTAAACTGAATGACTAGAGACACTTGGCCTAATTTTCCAAAGGCACTGAGCACCCAAAGCTTCCATGGCCTACAGGTGCTCAGTACCTCTAAAAAAAGAACAAAAATCAGGCAAATTGTCTTTAAAAACCAAACATCATAAGATTCATTTAACAAGTATCACAGTATATTAAACACTATACTGTTAAAGGCTGGTGGGATTTAAAAGTTCCTTTTTACAGCTTTTGTAAGCATACAATGTTACTAAAAATGACTTACTAGGATAGAGAAGCTAAACAGACATAGGAATGTTCCTGAACACACAGTTTTAAGTTATGCATTGCGATCCAAGCGTACATCAATTTCTCTGCCACTGATTTTTATGCCGTTCATTATCCTACAGGCCTTTTCAGCAGATTCTGGTGAGTCAAATCTGACTGTTCCACAGCCCTTTGATTTTCCATTCTCCATTTTTATTTCTGCAAACATTACATGACCTGAATAAATAAGTTAAACAGCAGTTATTTCAAGTGTTTGGTGCACTAACAACTTAAAGAACTCATCAGAAGTGATACAAAGCAGTTTAAAATATAATCTAGGGGGACACGTGAAATTAGCACTTTCAGACTGGCAGGTGACTTTCAGGGCAGGTGACACAGGTCAAAACAGCAGTGAAGAATCCAAATTAAGATCCACCGTTTCAGATCTTTCCGTCACACTACTGTAAGACGAAGCATACCTGCATTTATCCTCAAGTTTGAAACAAAGTGCCCTATAAAGCTAAGGGAAAGTTCTGCGTTTCATTTACAGACACTGCCAGAGGTGTGACTACTGACAGGCATTAACTGCATTATAGTTCAGTCCAGTTCACCATGTTCATCACAACAACCTATCAAGCAATCACAACCAGCAGGCAATTTTGTAAAGATGCAGAGCAAAATTAGTCTTTAAACCAGTAAAGTTCCCAGGTTAGGAGTGATGGAAAAGTAGCATGCACTATGCAATTCCTGCAGTGTTTTCTTGAGGTTGGACACAACTCATGAAGCAACAATTTTATGTAGGTATCTTGGTACCTCAGAGAATGGAGTTTGAGTGTTCAGTTATGGTATGTTATAGCACACCACTCCTGAGCCCCTAAAATGCCATTCTAAATAACAAACTTTTCCCTAAAATACATAGCTTTTTATTTTTAAATATATAACAGAGCTGGACTTTCACAGAAAGAAACTGAACATATGGAGAAATGGTCTGTGTATTTCCTAATGACATGGCATGAAAACAATCTGTTGTTTGTATTTGTGCTCATGATTCTTAAAAACAATGGAACATAATGACTACATCTGTTAAACTGCCAAGGAGATGATGGAAAAAATAATTCTGAACTATGTGAAAGTTGCCCACCTGGCAGTTAAGACTTAAAAACAGAGAGAACCTGTCTGTGTCCTCCAGCTACAAAAACACACATCTGCAAACACCCAAAAAATTTTCATAGTTGAATTGCAAGCTCTAATTTATTATTAATTATCTACAAAGCACTGTATGAAGACTGTCTTAGGTATCAGAGAAGGCTGCGTGGTGACCTCATAGCAGCCTTCCAGTATCTGAAGTGAGCTATAGGGATGCTGGGGATGGACTCTTCATTACAGACTGTAGTGATAGGACAAGGGGTAACAAGTTAAAACTTAAACAGTTTAGATTGGGAAGTTTAGACTGGATATAAGGAGGAAGCTCTTGACTGTAAGGGTGGCGAGGTACTGGAATGGGTTTCCCAGAGAAGTTGTGAATGCTCCAACCCTGGCGGTGTTCAGGGTTGGACAGAGCCTTGGGTGGCATGGTTTAGTGTGAGGTGTCCCTGCCCATGGCAGGGGGGTTGGAACTAGATGATCTTAAGGTCCTTTACAACCCTAACTATTCTATGATTCTATGATCAGTAGTTATGTTTTAAATGACTTTTCTGTCTCTCCAAAATAAGACATCCTGAAACTCAGTTAAAGCTTTTCATTCTGAAAGTGCATTTTCAAAACAAAACAATCACGTATGCCTACACGAATGCTTCATTCTTCATTTACTTCTGAGAAATGACAATTTTTCTGAATTGAATAAAAAGAATTATTGGATATTTGTAGAAATCCTTTATCTTGGATAAAAAGGGCCTTTATTTCTTAACATAAAGGGGAAGCATTACAGCCTGCAAATATGCTAATGAGGATCATCTATTTGCATAAAAACCAATCTGCCAGTTTGGCAAAATTGCTAACTCTGATTTGATGCAGCACCATTTCTGGAAGTAATGCATAACCAGGACAGGCCCAGAGCCCTGAATCCATTTGTCTCAACATAAATGCTACACTATATACCCTGTATTGGGCAGAAGATACATAATACCTGCCTCAAAAAGGAAAAAGCTCCAAGAGTAATTTTATTAATGGAACGGGTTAAAGTTTATAGCAGATGTGCACTCAGAGCCTACATAACCTGTACCATACCTTGGTCTCGCGTGTTACGTCATGCCTAAGAACTATTTATACAGCTCAGAAAAGCTGGGGGAAGTAAGAAAGATTAGGCTAGCCAGACTCTTCTCAGGGTAAGGCATCAACCTTGTGTTTCTGTCCTTATCTAACGAACACTATATAAAAGTAGCTGATGGAGCTGAGCAGTGACAGGATTCATATACATACCACACTGACTGAATTTCTCCTTTAGCTTCTGCCAGGTCAAGTCAAAAGGAAGCTGGAATAGAAAAGGATTATAAATAACAAAGTATTACAAAGTGCGAAAGAGCATGTAACCAAGCATGCATACAATAGAAGTTCATGATTTTTATGTATTCAGATACTTACATTTCTCACAAATATCTGGTTGCCTTTATTGCTTAATCTCTCTCTCATGCCACTTCCCATTGGCCCAGGTACAAATCCTCGATCAATATCCATGTTCCTGTCCAAGCCTCCACCCATAGCTGGTCCCATTCGATCAAAACCTGAACTCATCCGATCCATTCCCATTCCTCCAGGCATACTGTTCATACCACCCATTCCACCACCTACACAGAGAAAGGAAAGGGGGATAACATCAAAATGTTTCTAGTAATAAATGTGCAAGTACTTTGTTATTAAGAATAAAATATCAAAAAATGTTTTGTGTCAGGAGAAAAATAACTTTAATAAAATTATTGTAACACAAAACAACTTCATACATGCACAGTGATTTACGTAGTAGCATGGCTAATATTTTAAGGTGAAGTATTAGAAGATACAAAGTGTCAGTTCTAAAAGTAAAAACCAAACTGCATCAAGCTATTAGTCACACCATCTAATGAAGTAAAATGTTGAACACAGGAATTAAGACTTAAAGGCTGTCCAGTTTTATTAATAAAAATCCAATACTCTGTACCAAAATAGAGATCAAGTAAATAACTGTGGCAACATTACAATACAGATAATTTGGCCATATATACTCATTTATTTTGCTTCGCACATTCACATTCAGATTTAATGCAGCCATACCCACACTTAATGACACAATCTTCTAGAGAAAGCATATTTTGCAGAGAACAGATGTTATTGCAAGTGCTGTGAAGAACATGGATCTTACCATGATACATGCAAGGAAATATATTAGTGTATATTATATAAAGAACTAAGATCAATGGCATTCAAATATCCTATATTTCTGTATTCATCATTAAAAAATAATGTAAAGCAAAACTATCGACATCATTCAGGAGGGGCCTTCTTTTTAAGTCTTATGCCTCTCAGGATTGCCACTAGCAAGATTTTAGTTTCTCATCTGCTCTAGCCTGAGGAACTTAGACATTTGCTGTAAGACAAACTCAGCTTTAGAGCTTTGCACAAAATTAAACTGCGTAATACTCTGAAATTCAAGTCTTATTTTTTATTTCAATTACGAGAGATTACTACCGTTCAGCTTCATGATGTTCATGCAAATAGCTGCGCCTATTTTGTCTTTCTTCTGGAACACGAGTTTACTTAAATCACTTCTCCCTCCAAACCAGAAGTTAAAACCATTTCAAAGCTAAGACTCAGGGAAGGACTGTTATTAGCAGTTTTCATCTGAATTTTTACCTCAACAAAACAGCTTTAAAAATTATTAGACTTGCAGTTGCACACAACAGAATTCTACTCCTTCCAACACTGGCAAGATGCTATGCTACAAAGAAACCCCCTGGTATAATTACATGTACACTGTATCATTACATTGCCTATGTATTTACATTCTATTGAAACGAGTTAACCTACTCATTCCAGATCTTACTGGGCCCATGCTAGGTGCTCCCATTCCTCCTGCAAAAACACCAATCATTGCACCACCTAAACAGAAAAAAATAATATAGTGATATACAACAAAAACACCCGTTAGTGACAACAACAAAGCACACGCTGATGAAGTACACTGTTCTCTGTGTTACCTGGCAATTCTTTTCTACAACACTTTAACATGTGCCTTTACTATACAAATTAAATAGGAAACATCTAGTAAGTAACATTAGTCCCTCCTTCTTTATTATGTGATTTAAGTTACTCTGATTTCTTTCTACCTTTTCTCCCCTCTGACAGTCCACCAGCAGCACAAACATCTTAAAACTAAATAAGCCATTTCCCACAACGAGAAGAAGAGCCTCAAAACTGAATGGTTCATCTTATTTGAACTTCGTAGTACAAAAATGCCCCAGTTTCTCCCATTTTTAAGAAACCAATGCAAAAGCTAGGAGATGCTCTCCCAATGCGTCTTTACTGCATATGAAGGTGAACTGATGGAATCTGGTGGGGAAAAGGGGAGAAAGAAAGAGAATCAATGCTTAATAAAACCTGTTCATCAGAACCATGGGATCTCTAGAACGGTATCAGACTGAGTCTATAGTGAGGTAAAAATAATTCGTTTTATTAAACTGCTAATATTCAGGAAAGTAATCTCAAAGGAGCTTGCAGAACTGTAAAAGCTCAAAGAACTATGTAAGAACTACATTCCTGTTACTGCAGAACACAGTGCAACTGTCAGATGCATTTTTCTTGCTTGCTTTTCATACCTAAAAGAAACAGGTCAGTCTTTCCTTATGGCAAGATAGACCAATAACTGCCATATTGAGGATAGACACCACTGCTTTAATATCTAAAAAAGGTCACAGCTGAGTCTTCCATTAGAAGAAAACCTTAGCTGCTTGAATTATTGTCTCTTAAAAGGAAAGAAAACCCCAAGACTCCCCAACAGTCTGAGATGCACTTCAAAAAACAACCCAAAACAAACCCCACAATCTGAAAGCTCAAATAACCCTAACAAGCAGGATTTCAGCTGGTTCTGACCTTAGAGACATCCTTTGCCTGTACCTATTCTATCTGTAAATCCCTACGATTTCCTTCCATTTTTTAAGGATAAGTTGAACAATTCTTATCTTGTTTCTCAGAACCATGTTTAAATCTAACATTGCTGACAGGTAATGAAGTTGAAGCTTGCTGGATCTACTGAAGGAATGAACTCCCACATCAGTTTCTCACAGTGGCCATGATCACGCATCTTAAAACCAGTATGTGTTACCAAAAAACTCAAAACTCTATTGCTTGCATGAATATTTATAACTGAAGTGGCTTTGGCTTTTCATTCAGGAAAAAGATGTTTATCCTATGCTGCAAATAGAGCGAAAGCATACACTTGATTTCTAAGACACTAATTCCAAGGCCATAACACTAAGTTTATTACATTATCACTTCTACACAATTACCAGTGCTCAAAGAGAAGCACAGAAGCATTGCCCTATTATGACCAGCCCAAATGACAAAAATCTAAAAAACCAAACAAACAAAAAAAAAAACACCCCCAAAAAAACCACAACCTAGAAACAAAGCCAAAACAAAATACACAAAAAAAAAAAAACACCAAAACCCGTATCAACAACTTTTAGACCAGATGATGGGGAAAGGGACAAAAATGGGGAGGGGGTGAAAGAAAACCTGTCTCCCATAATGCCTTCATCCAGGTAACAGTATAATCAGAAAGTGCAAGAAGGTTCTACTGTTAAGCACTCCAGGCACATTAAGACAGAAAAGTATCTCATTTGGGAGAACCCAAAAGTAAGAAAAATGAAATCTGTCAACAAGGCATCATCTATTAACTAAAGAAAGCTGGCTCAGTTAAAGTAGAGGCAAATAAATCCTATTCTGATCTGCTTGAGCTTCAAAGGCAGGAAGAAAACCGACGGCACCAAAATTCACAGTTCCTAACCAATGCTACCTGATTTGCAGTAAGAACAGTTCCAGCATGCACTTATAAAAGCAAGCTCCTGGAATTTATAAAGGTGGTACATGGGCAGCTTCTTCAGAATTACCAGAAGCATTTACTTTAATATCCAAAAGACTTAGTACCTTGCAAAGTTAACAATATGAAGCTAAATGCTCTCCTCAAATAGTTTTGTTTCTATTTTATAGACAGGGGAGGAAAAAAAAAAAAAAACCAAAAACCCCACTTTATTCTCCATCCTAAGCAATGGCTCTATATAAGCACTCAGATTACATCCTTAATAACTAGAAGAAAGGGAACAGAGAGATGACCAAATGAAACTGAGTTCTTCTAGTAAAACTCTTCCAATATTATGCTGCAATTTGCCACAGGAAATTTAAGTTACCATACCCATCCTTCCAAAAGAATCTCCAAAACCACGGTTCAATGCCATTTCACCACGACCAAATTCTCTGTCCATGTTTCCTCCCATTCCACCACGGAACATTTCTATAGACAACAAAGCAAAAGACCCATCTAAGCTGATGTTCATACAACACTTGTTTCACAGCTGCTTGATCAAACAGAAGTGGGTTTAATGCACAAGTCAGAGACACTTTTGCCAGTTCCTATGCCTCCACTCATACCATTGACAGGATTTCCTCTGAGCTCATCTACATTACCCATCCCTAAAGGAAAGGTTTTTAATAAATAAATATAAGCAAACTAATAAGTGTACAGAACAGTGTTCACCGACCTCCCATTCGGTTAACTCCAAATCCTCCCATATTAGGCACTCCTTCCATTCCACGAAGTCCAGCAAGTCCTGTAAAATAAGGAAGTGTTTTCTATACAGTATTTTAAAAATACTGAATGCAAAGAATCTCACTGTACTTACCGCCTCCCATTCTGTTCATTCCACCAAATCCTGGACCATCTATTCCCATACCTTTAAAACAAAAACACAAACACCATTTAGAAGACAGGTAAGATCCTAATGGACTTAAAAAAAATGCAGAGACAGTTAACATCAACAGCACACTACACAAGACTTGTTTTGTCAAGAGTATGTTGCTCTTCCAAACACAGAAACAACAATTTTAAGCTTAAAGATCTGTAAAACTTATAAAACTTATAATGAAGAACAGACTTACCTCCTGGACCCATGCTCCCCATTCCACTGCCCATGCTCAATTGTGTTGCACTGATAGGCTGTCCACCTGGTCCAAGTCCCATACCAATACCACCAAGACCACCTTGAAAACAAAAGTATTACCAAAAGATTTTCTTCTGTATCATAAAGAGACCACAGTAAGCAAAAGTACTACTAAACTGTTCTAAGACTCTGTATCAACATATATTAAGTGCAAGAAGCAGAAAGCAGAATTACTCACGAGGTAATTGTGAAGTTTTGCTGTCTGCAGCACGGAAGTCTTCATGAGGAACTGATTTGTCATCCTGATAAAACACAGTGATGTCATGCTATGATCCCTTCAGTGCTTTAGCAGAGATGGGCAAGGTAGAAAAAACGTAAGGAACTCACCATTTTTACATGCATGGGTCTATCAAAAAGGAATTGCCCATTGAACATAGCTGCATAAATACAGGTCAAGGAATCTAGCTACAGAAGACAATCTATTTCAGAAGAATCACTGTAATAACTTATTTTACTTCTGTACCATTTCTGGGGCCTTATCTTTCTTATCTAATCCTTAGAAGGCCAATTCAAAGGCCAGAAGAGAATATACAAGCTGTTAGGTATATCAAAGTTTCACGTCATATTCCCACATTTTAATCTTGTTCAACATTAGCAGGAAAACCTTTTCAGACTACAGCAGTAAATTCAGTCACTATTAAAAATGTAATCTGTACAGTATTACGCTCTAGCCCCAACATACTAGCTACAAGGCAAATAAGCACCATCTGCAAAACTACACTGTCAGAAGCCATTCTAAGTCTAACCCATATCTGATCAATTATTTTTCAAACCCAAGGATACAAATTGCTTGAACAGCTTCAATTGCTTGTTCAAAGGTAACTGTTCCCATCCCTCGACTCTTGCCATCCTTATCTTCTTTGATGTCCGCACGCTTTACAGTTCCTGCAATGCTGAATACCTCCTTCAGTTTCTTCCACCCAACTTTAAAGTCAAGCTTACACACAGGAAAAACATGAGTGATTTTGGTGCACATTTCTGTTCTGCTACTACATTTGGGCTAGATTTTCTGCCTTGTTGTAACTCTTCAGCTTTACAAAATGCGTGATACATGTAAATAGTAAGGATTTTCTAATATACACACACTGAAACAAAGTCCAAAACTGTCAACTAAAAGCAACAATTTGTACTACATGTATGTATTTTACTTTAACATACTAACATTGGGAAGTGGATGTGCTCCTATCAAGAGCAGCTGTACTCCCAGAAGTCCTGTTGCAGACATAGTACTCTTTTGTGCAAATAACAAACTTGAGTTCCAACAAATACAACAGCTCAAGTTAGTCTAAAGTAACTAGCAAGATAAACTGAACTGTACATTTAATTGAGAAATGCAATTGTAATTTCTGAATGCAGTTACATGTAACATAATCCGAATACATATCCAGCATTTTAGTTGAATATACTAATTGTGAACAAATTTCCAATTTTCTCTTTATATTAAAACTGAACTATGCAGAGATGTCAGATGCTTTACAAAGCTTAAATATTACAGTCATAAAATACAGTTTTAAACTTACGTTAGCAACAAAAATAGTGGACCCAAGCCTGCCTGCCTGCAAGTTACTGATAACCTCAGGAGGAATGTTTGGATTATTGAGAATAGAAGGTGGTAAATTCATTATTCCAGGTGCCACATCAGGTCCATGTCCTCCTGGAAACTGTCCTCCTCCACGCTGTAAAGCCCTACGAGCATGTTCACCTTCAGGATCCTGAAACATGGGCAAAAAATAATCATGTTAATCATCAAGCGGATTGACAACAACAAGTAGGTAATATTAGAAATTCTACACAAACCCATCAAAATTATCAACTAACATCCTTGTCTGTGTCAGAGGGGTCAAGAATTAGCTTGGAGACCTAACTCCCTCACCTCTAGAGGTGGGTCCTTTCAGATGAGGGTTGAGGCATATTGGCAAAGCACTTGTTGAGGAAGCGTGCACTGCCACTTCACATGCTGTACCTAGCCTATGGACAAGTAGAAAAGATTTCAATCTAAAGGACTGTCAGTCTGGCACCTTCTTCCAAGAGCTGAATTAATTCAATTAAGCTTTTTTAAGAATTTATTAATACCATTATTAAAGTTGTAACAGGACAAAAAGAACTGCATCAGACACAATCATATACGGCAATGCTACGATAAAATTGATATTAATTTGACTCTCCAGTCAGCACAATTTCTCTACTTCCAGCCCCATTTTTGCCCATATGTAGTAGTCTGATACTCGGCTTGTTCTGTGCTGTATTTTGAAGCAGGTAAACAGTGTAAACATAGAATCATATAAGTTGAAAAAGACCTGATGACACTAAGGTAAGAATGTGAAGTTAAAGAAAAAGTTGTCTCAAAGAAAAATGTTATATTATTTTGATTTTAGGACAGACCTGCTGGCAGTTCATATGGTATAGTATCAAGAACTTCTGCAAGCCAACAGGTGCTTCAGCCCATTAAGAAAAGGTCATTAAAAAATTAACCTGGAAATTACAAAGCTAAGATGCTCAAAATGCTATATCATCATCTCAGTAGTTACAGTATCTTCACTATTTCAAATTAATGCCAGAAGCAATAACCATACCTCTTTAATATTCAGGGGTCTTCCACTAAGATCGTATTTGTTCATAGTGTCTAACGCTTTCTTAACAAATTCTTCATCTTTGAATTCAACCACACTTCAAGAGAACAAAGTACGAAGTATTAAAATAAAGTTTAAATTGATAAAATTAACAGCATGGTTGGATAGCAGTGTGTTTCTACACACATATAAAAAGAAACTTACCCACAACCCTACATCCATGATGATTTGTCATCATAAAGAGAGGAGAAAAAAAAAAAAAGAAAAAGACAGTCAGTACATATGATAGATCATTTAAGATTCCAGTTAAAGATCCCAGCTCACTGTTAAATAACTATTCAAGTTATTTTCAGTTTCAAAATCCGTAATACATGCTCTTTACTGGTAGCCAATCTGAATTTATCTTACTTTCTCAATATACATACCTTTCAAATGCAAGAAAATACACTATATTTTATTCTCTTTGAGCCAAACCAGAATTGGAAAAATGCCACACAGATCCACGTAAGGACAACTGGGGAGAGGAAGGCTTGGGGTGGGGGGGTGGGAAAGGAGGGCAGAAAGAAAGCCATAACCAAATGCCAATCAAGACACTCACTGTGTCATTAAAAGCTGCCCACTGACTGCAAAGTTCAAATCTACCTACATCATCAAGTATACCAGTACGATGAACAAGGAGTCTGAATACCTCTTCCGTATTACTAGCATAATTGAGAAATTACTTTCTAAGAAAACCTTATTGACTGCACCAGTATCCTTCCAATAAAGTAAAGAGTCAAGGATTGCTTTAAGTAAAGCAAAGCTGACAGCACATTTTAGTTTTTTAACAAGCTTTAAAGGAAGTAATTTACAACAAAATTGATACAACCTAAGTTAAGACACAAACCTGCATTTCTCATGGCCTCACTGCAGGTTCAGATCTACTATTGGCCCAACTTTTTACTATTTTTAAGAAGACAAAGGAGCTTTAACAATCTTCACTCTTAGTGCCTCATTGCTGGCACTCTATTGGCTACTAACCATTTCCATCCAGTTAGTTTTAAGAAGGCAAATACATTAATCCAGTGTTTAGAGTACCAACCAAGCAAAGCTGTCAAATCAGGCACTTCAAACAATATATTCTTAGCTAAAATTTTATACTCATTGGCCCCAAGAATACTACACTAACAAAATTTAAATAAAATCACTGGGTTATTGAACAACCTTTGTATGAAACAGATTTGTACCAAAACAAAGACATTGGCTAAAAAGAAGAATTAACTAAATGCCATTTGTTAACATTAACAAAAGTATTTTGTCCTTTACAGCCAGCTAGTCTGAGTTGCTTGGAAGTGCCAGACTACTTCTAATACAGAATCCTCAAGACTATCTTAATGAAAATCGGTGTAAAAATGAAACTTACTTTCCAATAACTGGTACAGGTATGATACAAAAATAAAACTGCTGAGGAACTTTTAAACCTCTAGCAGATTGTTGCCCACGGCACTTACCCTTGATTTTCCTTCAGCATCCTTAAACAGCTCCACGTATGTAACCTCACCAACTACATAAGACATACAAAGGGAAAATACCAAGAGACAATGCATTTAAACACCAGTATCTTTCTTTACTGTGCCCCTGTGCACAACTCTACAGAAAAACACCTATTATTCACCAACAATCAAAACCAGACCAACGTACCTCCTGTCAATGGCTATATAATTTAGCTAATTTTCAGGAATATGCAGCAGCCACATTCTCAAAAGCTAAAAGCAAACAACTATATTTAACCTAATTCATACTACAGATCATATTTTGGCCAGTATGATATAGTTGGTGAACAAATTCAGATATACACCCTTAACCTAACAAATGAAACACCAACGTTCACTGGGAAGTGTTACATTTATCATCCTACTCACAACACCTGTTTTAAGGTGACTTTCTACCTGAATGTCTTCAATCATAAGTTTGCCTTCAATAATAACCAAATTTACACATCAAATATTTCACAGCAAGCCACTCACTTTCTAAAGGAGGAAGTTTCAGTAAATAAACCAATCAAATAGTCGCGTCACCTTACAACAGATAAACCAGCAGTTATGGGGGGGGTTGGCATTTTTCACAGCCTAAAAGCCAAGTGTGCTTTGCATTACTTTTGAAGAATCAATTTTTCAAGGAAAACACAGAACTAACTTTTTACAGAATTCATGTATTAGCATTATTTTACCCCAAACTTAAATAAAGTAGCACATTTGGGGTAGTGAGATTACTCTATCAGAACTGCAACAATAGTAACAAGCTTATAATACAAGTCTCCAGACAGTCATGGCAGTAGTGACAATGCAGACAAAGTTAATTCCACAGCCAGATTCCACCAAAGAAATACAAAACAACTTTTGAAAGACGCCCTTTATTATTCATGTTAACACACTAAATGTGTTGCTTAAATACAATAACCCTTTAAAAAAAATCTACAAAGACTACAACTAGACAAAACACAATCTCTTTAAGAAGTCATGAGGTCATGCATGTACTCTCTACTGTCACACCAGAATGGCAGAAGATTGTAAGCACTTCATTTACCAATCCTACCCTGCAATGCAATTGTCTCAGATGAAAGAGGGGGAAGGGAGATAGATATACCAAGTAGAGGCCAAAACCAAAAAAAGCCAAGTCAAATCTGTGTGGCTCAAAGGACATACACGTTGCACTGAAGTTCTATCCCTTTCTGTGTAAAGTGTATTATAATGAATAAGTTACCTTTCTCTCTCATAAGATCTTTAATAGCTTGCCATTTCATGTCATATGGGATGTTGCTAATAAAAACTCTATTACGATTAATAGCCTTCTTCTCTCCAGTGCCTGCATTCTTGTCCTTTGAATAGGGGTGGAATCTATTCTTGTTTCCAAGAGAAGGGATTGCCTTCGGTTTTGCAACATACTTTTCTTTAGCAGGTGCTTTCTCTTCTTTTGCTGTCTCATCATTACCCCTACATTAAAACAAATCCAAACAAAAAAATATTAGTTTTGTGTTGGATCATCAAACCATTATACCTCCTATATATACAGCTGTATACCTCCTATACTGGCAAATGCTGATTTTCAAGTTAGGAAAAATAAATACACATTACCAATCTAATTCCAAAATACGATGCTTTAGCTAGGACAAAACATGTTATCATAGATTTATTCACTATTGTGAGTGAAGAAAGTACAACTTGCTGCTTCAGTTACATTCCACTTCCATTATGTCTGTCAAGACGGAACAAGACAGTACTCTGAAACTACTACAAACAGGCAAAACAGAATGACCCAGCTGCAAAATGAGCTACAGCACCCATGATTTGGTGCTTCAGTAATTTTTACATCAGGCTCAGTTGCGCAATATTCACCACCACAGAAGGGAGACTTGAAACTGCCTACCTTATGGAAGGAAATGTCCTAAAGGACTGTCAGAAGCGACTGACTGTGAACCCTCCTTCTCAGACTGCATCACTACCTTTACAGTTTTCCACCACATTTCAGAAGACTTAGGTTTTAATCTTGCTTTGACACTTTGGAAGGTTTCTGGTGTAAAATTAGCTGAAACAGGCATTTCGGTTTTACAACCACAACATATGGCAAGATCACTGATTCTGATTAACTGCAATGAGTATTTTCAGCTCTCTGCACATTTATTAACAAAACTGTAAGTGGCAGTCTTAAACCCAAAAGCACATGCAAGTAGCCTTTCATGAAGCTAAATATATTATCTACTCCAGCCTGCACGCTTGTCAGGGAGGAATAATAATAATTCAAATACATCCATATTTCTCATATGACTTTTCCCCAAATTCTGAAGTATTCAAACGATACAAACTTCACAGTCCTTGTGTTTACAAGTGGATCAAGAGAGGATTCGCAATTGAGAAACACACAGGCACTCTACTGGGCCAAGTATCTGTAGAATTTAAAACATTCAAAGTCAACAACACATTATCTGGTTCAAGCACCCTCTAGCTTCCCCTAGCATCATTCCTCCTTCACAACAGCATCCTGTCAGTTGTGGCTATATAATTGTGTGGCTGCGTAATGAAGGGAACAATACACAGAACTGGAGGGAACCAGCGGGAGAGAAGGAAAGAGCAAAGTATCAGGTTTTCCAGTCAGATCAGTCCCTTCAAATCCAGTCATATTTGCAAAAACAAAACTCCTGCCCAATTAGACTCTAGCAAAATCTGAGTTCCTCCTTAAATTTTAGGATTAGAGCAATGGATTCTCTTTAGCCTTTTAAGCTCTTTTCCTGCTTAAAGGATTATGAACAGCCTCTGGGTGCTCAATATAGCGCACAGGAAGAGCCAGGTCTCCACATACGGAATCCACAGGATCTGTAAGACCTAGCTGTACAAACCAGTAAAGCATAGAGGATACAAGCCTGGCATAAACTCTAGGAAGTAAGAAAACACTTCACTTAGCCTGGGGACCACAGTCAGTCTCCTGAAAACAGAGGATTATTTGAAAAAAAATAATCCTTCTTGCAGAAATCACCTGCCAAAACCAACACAGGCCAGTGAACAAGCTGGAGCCAGAGGTCCTTTTGTGGATGCAGCTCTTACCCTCTTCCTTAAGTATTAAACATAATTTCAATCAAGTACATTCAAAGCAATGTCATGTTAGTGACCTGCAGACCACAGAAAAGAGTCTCAAAAACAATGAAATGACATATTCCTGGGGGAATAACAAGAGTAATTTCTACTTTTTACCTTTTGTATGAGCCAATAATTTGACATTAATATGTGCCTGTGAAATCACTAGAAAATTTCTAGGGTTGAAAAGAGAGGTCTACATTAGTATTTTTTTTTAAGACATAACAAAGCCTATCCTCATAGATTAGAAAGAGCAATCTTTACCTTTTGAAAAATAACATCTCTGAACATCCATGAAGTTTCAGAAAAAAAGACAAGGTTTCCATACACAAAACTAAAAGCCTAAAAAATAATAAGCATGAGATAATTCAACACAAAAGCCCTAAAAGCTGGTATTTTTATTAAGCAAACTTCTCCTCTCTGCTCACTAGTGACCACACAAATAATGAGATCAGCAGAGAGAGAAATGCAAGAAGTCCACATGTGATTCCAAAGCACACAGATCAGTTCAGCTTTCTTATGCTGAGCAATTCCACTTCTCAATACAATGAAAGTCGGGAAGCACTCAAGACCAGGATTCCTCTTCAATGTAATCTGAGTGCTAAGCAAACCTAGTTACTGAAATACTTTTTAAATGTAGTACATTTCACCTACGCACTGAGACCTTAATCGTTTGTACACAGGTTTTGGGGAAGACTGGAAACTGCCGTGAAAGAACAGGATCTGTAACTCTGTATTACTTTCAAACTACAATTGTGATTTCTATCGCACAGAATGACTGGGATTTTTCATTTGCTTGCAATTTGGTTTGGACGGAAAAGAAGAAAATTACTGACAGGAGGAGGGAACAGTAACGACTCCAAAAGTCAATAAAACGTTAAAAGCTCCAAAGGTGCAAAAGGCTCACAAACTTCCTGTGAAAATTTACTGTAATTTGTGTAGTGTGGAAGCTGAGGGCCTGGCTTAGGGAAAAAAAAAAATAATAACCGCAGTTTTATGGTAATGTAAAATTTATAACTTGTAAACTATTTGCATTTCACAGGGAGACAAGTAAAGGCATGAAGCATGCCTTTATTCCTCTAGCTTTATGTTGAACTTGATCCCATGTGCATTTTTCAAAGCCAACAGTATCAGACTGGCCTGCTTAGAACATGTCAAAACTTCACAGCTCTCAACAGCTTCGATGCACTGCAACAGCAAGTCTACCATACATGCATTACAGAATTATTTGGGTTGGAAGGGACCTCTGGAGGTATCTAGTCTTCCCTCCAAGATCTGAATGAGATTGGAAGAGACTGAAATTACAATGACATAAGGCCAAAAGCTGGTTCACATGAAGAGTGAGAACCCTCAAGGCCAGACATCAAGAACAAACAAATATATAAAGCTATTCACAGCACTGCTCTAGACAGCTGGTACTTCCAGCTCACCTACACTCCAGTAAAAGTCCTTTTAGACCTGCTATGTAAGGCAGTTTGCATATTCCATATATGACATTACAATGGACAAGAAAAGTTTGTGCATATATGCGGGGCTTTTTGTTTGCTTGTTTTTGAAAAGTAAACCGCCGTAGGCCTGTCTTACTGTTCTCACATAAACGAATGACTAGTTCGAAGGCTTTACAAAACGCACCGCTACGGTAGGAAGTGGAAACGTAAATAAAACCAGAAACCAGGCAGAGCACTTCTAGGAACGCATCCCGTGAGAACCGTCCTGACCAGAGCGCACTACAGTAGCCCAAGGGCTCACCACAGCGCAGCGGCTGCCGCTCAGCCCCTGCCCGAGGCGAAACTTCACCTCCCTCGACCCCAGCTCACCGGGCCGGGAGGCGCCTGCCCCGCCACCCCACCGCCTCAACCGCCCGCCGCGGACCGGCGCTCCACGCTCGGGCCGCGCAGCAAGGCGCACCGCCATCTCCGGCGGAGGAGGAGCCCACAGGGGAATGGGGAGGAGGGGACCGGCCGCCCTGCCCCCGCCGCGGCCTAGGCGGGCCCGCTGCACCCTCGCGCTTCCCCGGCCGCGCTACGCGCGCCGCCCGGCCCGGCCCGGCCCAGCACACACATTTTGACGCCATTAGCGCTGCCTCCGCCGCTCTCGGTAACTGCCGCTGTGGCTGCTGCTGCTGCGGCTGCCGCCGCCTCCTCATCCCGCGGCGGCTGTTGTTGCGGTGGCGGCTGTTGCTGCTGCTGCTGCTGTGGCTGCTGCTGCAGCGGACGGACGGCGCTAGCGGCCTCCTCGGCTCCGCGCTGCGGCGCAGCGGGCGCAGCCTCCAGCTTGTCGTTCTCCGCCATTTCCTAACCGGGCCAAAACCCCGCTACCACTGGGTTTGAAAAGGGCCCGCAACGCCTCGGCCTCGCCGCGCCGGGCCGGGCTAAGTCTCGCGAGAACGAGACTTGCGACGGAGGGAGGGGACGCGCTAGGCGGCTTTACGGGTTGCCATGGAGACGCCGGTGGGCTGCCGGGCCTGCCGCCGCAATGGCAGCCCCACAGCGCGGCCCCCGCCCGAATTAGGCTGAGGTAGTGCTGCCCGGCGACTCAGTAGGTCCCACCCCAATCCCCTAAATGGCATTACCTGCCACATGAAAACCTCTTAACGTGAAACCGGCCTCTCACCTCCATCCCTGGGAAAGTAATGGAACACCTTATCCTCGGTGCCATCTTAAGGCATATCAAGGATAAGAGGGTTATGAGGGGCAGTCAACATGGCTTCACCAAGGGGAAATCATGCTTGACCAATCTCTTAGCCTTTTATGAGGAAATAACACGGTGGATGGATGATGGCAGAGCGGTGGATGTGGTCTACCTTGACTTCAGCAAAGCATTTGACACAGTCTCCCACAGCATCCTCACGGCTAAATTGAGGAAGTGTGGACTGGATGATCAGGTAGTGAGGTGGACTGCGAACTGGCTGAAGGAGAGAAGCCAGAGAGTTGTAGTCTATGGGGCGGAGTCTAGTTGGAGGCCTGTAACTAGTGGAGTGCCTCAAGGGTCAGTACTGGGACCAGTATTATTTAATATATTCATCAACGATTTAGATGAGGGAATTGAGTGTACTATCAGCAAGTTTGCTGATGACACTAAGCTGGGAGGAGTGGCTGACACGCCAGAAGGCTGTGCTGCCATCCAGCGAGACCTGGACAGGCTGGAGAGTTGGGCAGGGAATAACTTGATGAAATATAACAAGGGAAAGTGTAGAGTCCTGCATCTGGGCAGGAACAACCCCAGGTTCCAGTATAGGTTGGGAAACGACCTGTTAGAGAGCAGTGTAGGGGAGAGGGACCTGGGGGTCCTAGTGGACGACAGGATAACCATGAGCCAACACTGTGCCCTTGTGGCCAAGAAGGCCAATGGCATCCTGGGGTGTATTAGAAGGGCGGTGGTTAGTAGGTCGAGAGAGGTCCTCCTTCCCCTCTACTCTGCCCTGGTGAGACCCCATCTGGAATATTGTGTCCAGTTCTGGGCCCCTCAGTTCAAGAAGGACAGGGAGCTGCTGGAGAGAGTCCAGCGCAGGGCAACCAAGATGATTAAGGGAGTGGAGCATCTCCCTTATGAGGAAAGACTGAGGGAGCTGGGTCTCTATAGTTTGGAGAAGAGGAGACTGAGGGGTGACCTTATTAGTGTCTATAAATATATAAAGGGGGAGTGTCACGAGGATGGAGCCAGGCTCTACTCAGTGGCAAACAATGATAGGACAAGGGATGATGGGTACAAACTGGAACACAAGAGGTTCCACTTAAACTTGAGAAGAAACTTCTTCTCAGTGAGGGTGACGGAACACTGGAACAGGCTGCCCAGGGAGGTTGTGGAGTCTCCTTCCCTGGAGACATTCAAAGCCCGCCTGGACACATTCCTGTGTAACATTATCTGCTCCGGCAAGGGGATTGGACTAGATGATCTTTTGAGGTCCCTTCCAATCTCTAGCATACTGTGATACTGTGATACCCAGCCACCCCCGCCCGGAGCAACTGCAGGCCAACAGGGCCCAAGGCAAGCGGCTGGTTGGGGAGCACAGATACCTCACAGAAAGCAGTTTCATAAAGCTTACAAATACTGCAAAGTCGTAGGGTGATAACAATAAATAACCTGCTGCACCTTTACGATTCTAACACCACCATCAGCCGCAGCAAATGGCTGCTTAGCCCTTACTTCAGTTGAGGAGCACGGCATCTGTTGCTTGGGGTCCACCTGCATTCCAAAGGAAGCACTTTGGAATGGTCACTGCTTCTACTCTACCTCAGAAAATGGACTGTAATTTACTATTCAAACTTTATGCTAAGAATACTCAGTGAATTGAAGTAATGCTAACTTAAAATTTGCCTTGTATTTTTCCTACGTTTATAGTCTTCCTTCAAAAATCAGTGTAGTAACAAGTAAAGTACTCCTTCTGCCTAGAAGATGTTGTATGGTCTTTTTCCAAGCATTTCCGTACCATCAAGAAGGTCTCCACATTCATGAGGACATGAAAGCTCCCAGATCCTGAAGCTCCTGGTGGACCCAAATCACCCCTTAACCTGTGTTGAGACAGCTCACAGATCAAATACAACCTTATACCCAGCCTGCTTTGGTGCTGGTACACTCTCCTGGTATTGGCTAAAATACTCCCACTGCAGATGTCTGATTATTTAGAAACATACAAAACCACAGGGCAGGCTTAGGTGCAAGTTCAATTATAGTTAGAGCACTGGGAGCTTCTAGATGGACATTTGTTTTATTTTTAAATATAACCAACAATGAAATATGAATAGCTTTAAATATGAATAGCAATTCTGCTGTAAAAGTTCAAAATCACATAGCTCCATGCCATACACTCAACATTTTGCATTCTCTCTCACTCATCCTGGAAGATGTATTTGTGATGTAGAACCTGCAACTTAGTCCTCTCAGCCTCCCTTGGCTTCTGCAATCCTGATTTCTCTCTGTCAGAGAGAGAGAGAGAGAGAGGGGGGGGGGGGGGGGGGGGGGGGGCGAAGGTTTTAACTAGTATTTTTAAAAGAAAAAAACATCTGTCGTTTGGACAAAGTTTAATCACTTCACTAACCACAGGTACCAAAGTATTTCTAAAGGGGTCACCAAATGGTGTATCAACATCTATGATATAACGAAAACCATTCAGTCCCCTGCAGTGACTTTAGATCAGTGGCTTCTTGGTGGTGACCCGTAGGAATCCACACACTAATTTTAAAAAAACCACAACTGAATGTTAGTAAAAACTGAGCAGTTTTTATTAATAGAGCAACAGAGGCTCCACACCTCTGTCTTTCTGCAAGAGACAGTTAAGAGTCACTGACCTGGACAAATACGGGTTTTGGAAGTTGACTCCTTTATGAGCTGCTGGGACTCTTTGTCCTCATGACTGTCACACCAGCTATTGGTAACCCCTGAGATTTTGGAGAAAGCTCAGAGACACTGTGAAACACCTTAAAAACCTAGTAACTTACATCCCAGATGAAGGTAGAAAGGCATTTCTAGAGGTCTGATAAGAGGTGTAATTCTGTTCACACATTAACCGTAATTAGCCAAATAACTTGGTATTTGTGATAATCATCATCACTGAAATGGTTAATGTTTACTTGAAGTTGCTGCCATTACATTTTACAGCTCTCACTTCTCCAAGATGAAAGGAAGTAATTTTCATGTTCAGGTTAGTAAACTCCATTACCAGACCTCTGTTCAATTGTGCTTCGCACAGGGCATCTCAAGTGTTGGAATCTTATACTCCCTAACCCAGTATAATGTCACCGAGCAGCTGATGCTGAATTCCTATGCCCATGGGCCCATGGATGCTAGTAACAGGAAGAATTATTGACTTTCTTACACACAGTTTTGCCTACTTGTTCCAAATAATCTACTGGCTATTTCAGCTGCTGCCTTCTCAAGTTTGTATGTCTTTTTGGTGCATGTACCAGGAGGCTGAGACAGTTTATTTTCCCCCTAGCAGCCCTCATAGTGCTGCGCTTTGTATTGGTATCTAGAAAGATGTTGATAAGACACCAGCGTTTGGCTTCTGCTGAGCAGTGCTCCACAGCATCAAGGCTGTCTCTCCAATATCCCACTCACCAGTAGGCTGGGGGTGGACAAGATCTTGGGAGGGGACATAGCCAGGACAGCCGACCCTAACTGACCAAAGGGATATTCCATACGCTATGATGTCTGCTCAGCAATAAAAGCTAAGGGAGGAAACATGTTTGTTACTACAGTTTGTCTTTCAGAGCAACCGCTACACAAACTAAAGCTCTGCTTCCCAGGAAGTGGCCAGACATCACCTGCTGATGGGAAGTTGAGAATGAATCTCTTGTTTTTCTTTGCTTCCACATGCAAACTTTGCTTTTGCTTTATTAAACTGCATTTATCTTGACCCATAATTTTTTTCCGTCTTATTTTCTACCCTTCCCATCCTGCTGAGGAGGAGAGTGATAAAGTGGCTTGGTGGGCAACCGGTCCAGCCAAGGTCAACCCACCACAGCATACATACAGGTTTGTATCAGTAAAATTAGTTGTCACTCAATATGCTTTGTAATAAATACTGGTAACTGTACAAGCCATACAGTGACAAATCTATAAATGTAGAGGTGTTTTGTATTAGGGTTGCATAGGGACATAGTTTAGGATAAAGCCTGCAGGAGTGCTACTAGCTCTGCTCTGTTCCCCTCGCACCACAACTCCTATTTACTGCATTTTGTTTCCCTTGGTTGCCTGTGTCAGGATTTTTATGGGAGTCTTGATCCTTTCCCAGAAGTCGCACACATAATCACTCAGTGTATCCGTCTTCAAAGAACAATAAAAAAATGGGAGAACAATACCACAAAGAGCTGTTTTAGAGAGCTGATGGGTGAATTGGGATTAAAAAGTGGGATTTCTTTGGTCTTCAGAACTGTGTTGAAAGAAGTTTAACCTTTTCCCTAGGCGGATTCCTGTGTACAAAATGACTGAAATAATAATAATAAAAATCTTCATGGCATAGTAAGTGGAAAAAGGAAAAAAACATACCTCTCTATGCTTGTGTTTGTGTTGAGGAAGTCTCCTTCTGTTACACAACCACCGATGCCTCCTGAGAATATTTGAAAATTATCTCTTGATATATAGACTTCCAACATCTCTTCCACCTCTACTCATGTCCTTACAGGAGACAGATGTGGTCTCTGAGGAATGTCCCTGTTAAAAGGGGATCCTTCATTTAGTACAGAACAGTTAAAAGCATTCTTGATCTACTGTCCTAATAAATTCCTTTCGTTGTCCTTTAATGTAAATAGTGTTTCTCAGTTATGGGTAGAGTATATGACATTATGGCTGTATATTCTTGGCAAGCAGAGTTGGCAGCACTAATTTACACAGGGAGTTGAGAATAATGGAATATTATTAGTGTTCTGGCATATATATGTAAATATAAGCAACTGTAAAGGAACTACTCTTGGAAGTCTCTTGTACAAGTAGTAGTTATTGAGCTAAAATAATTACATATGTTCTAAGTATCAGCATTCTTTCCCATACAGAAAATTAAAAGTCTCAAGTCTTCACTGACAAGTCATTGCTCTCAGCTTGCTAATGACCAAATATGCATCACCATCCTTTTATTGGTTTTTGGTTCATCTCTATATTGGTTTTAATTTTGGTTCCAGTTAAGTCATGATCAAAAGCAGTTCATCAACACTTACGTCAGGTGGGACTTGCGAAGAAGTTCTATCTTCTTGAAAGTCAGTTTGTACGGAACTAGAGAGGATGGGATTTGAGCCTCATGTTTTAAATCTATTGACTTTTTTTGGTAAATGATTTCAGTCAGACATTGTTCTCACCTATACAGTGCGGGCATGGTCTTGTTTAGTTTGCAATGGTACCTAAATGTGCTTAGCATTTTCTAGACCCTGTCCCTTCTCTGGGAAGTGCAGCTGGAGAAGGGTTGCTTTAACAGATTTGCTTTGTAAATCATTTGACTTTTGCAGCTCATTTAAAGATTGCTTTTTGCACAGCCACAGGTATTTCCAAACCAGTCTGCACTGCCTAAGGCTGCTCCCAACCTACACTGCTGTACTTTGCGCTACAAGAAAATTAACCCTACTCTGCAACTGGCTCCCTCTTTTACACAGCTATACTGGACCTGTAATAAAGCAAACACTACCTTCCCCAAACACTCTGTTCGCAATTAAACGTTTTATTTCCAGTCTGAGAAATTGTTTTGTTTTTTAACTTTGGAAAACAAACCATTTTACACTTCAAAAGGGCAGGCTACCAAGTGCAGCAGCCTGCCTGGTGCCAGCCATCTCCCAGTCTCACTGCAGCAGAGCTCAGCCATCCACACCAGAGCCTTCACACCTGCCACTGCAGCATCGATTGCTTCTTCCATCACTCCCAAGCTGTTTTGATACCTTTCCAGTTTCCTGCTCTGTCTGTCCTGCTCTCTCTCCCCTATACTGAGTAAGTCACGAACTGGCTCAGCCCGCCCCAGATAAAAGATTGTGCAGACAACCTGCTACAGCAATGAAACTGTGTTGAGGCTTTTTTTCTGTGTGGTGTATGCATATAAACAGAAAAACTGTGCAGCATCCTGTACCCACAGCATAGGATCCCTCACACAGGAGACCTGCTCCACTTGACCTGTAGGGACCTTTTCCCCCACTGAAGGCTTAAATCCCCCTAAATCTCATTTTTTCTTTTTTTCAGTGTTCTGCAACCCTTGACCAAAGCTTAAAAGCCTAAAACCCCTAAAAGGCTGCATAACACCAGCCTCTGGGGAGCACTTTTACAGGTCCTACGTTTTATAAATCACATTACCCTCTCTTCCTCCATATCATTACTCTACCTGCTGACGTTACAAAAAAAAAAAAAAAAAAAGCAAGCCAGTTGCATTTTGGTCCTTCCTTCCATAACACATGTGGTCCTAAACAGGCTGAGTGCCCCTAACATACCCACCACCTCCCCCCTTCACAACAAGGCAGTGAACACCTCCCTCCTGCATCTCTGAAGAGAATTCATCCATTCTAAGGCCTTAGAAGCCTTTTGCCCTCTGGCCGTGGGCTTGCCCCAACCTTGAAGTGGAGGAGCTGGGGCACCCCTGGGAACATTTGCCCCCCTTCATGGACCAACTCTCCTGTCCCACTCACACCAGGTGGCACTGTTGGTTTTCACTGTACGTGCGCACTCTTCCACCTTCCCCAACACTGACACTCGTGGGTGCTGAACCTAAAAGCCGTGATTCTCAACCTTCTTCAGTTCTGAATCCCTACGCTTTTCCTATTTGAAGAGTGGGCCTATTCAGATATTTAACATGGGGAGACCACTCTGTAGAACCTCTTTTTCTGACTGCATTCCTGGCAGTCACCAGAGGAGTACCCTATGGACTCCCAGGACTGTACACAGCCATATGTTTAAGCTGGTGAGGGCAGTACCTAATAAAAGTATGGTCTTTGGACAAGCACAAAGAGAGATCCAGATCTTTTAAGACTATCGAAAAAAAAACACCATGCTAGAACAGAGGTCTTTATCCTTCTTAAGATGTTAAATACCCTGAACTAAATTTCATTAAATAATTCCCACTTGCAACTCTTATCAATACATAATATATAATCTTCCCTCTTTCACTGTGACCTCTGTTACTGCTTTTATCACCTCCATAAACTATTGCCTTCTGAAGATGCATGTTCTCATAAACTTGCTTTGACTTGCTTAAATTTGTTGGAGGGAAGGGGGTGTTCAGCTTGATCTGTTTCTTCTGTACACAATGTTCTTCATTGACTCTACCCTTGTCAGCCCACTTTGAATTTCTAACAACTGAAGGGACAGTTTGTTTGCTTGTGAAGGAACACCCAAAGAGCTGTTTAAAGCTAAATGGAAAAGCAGGTTACTTATCACTCAATATAGTTACAATTTCCTTGATACTTACACCACTTAGATGATGCTTAAACATGAAAAAGTATTCACTAGCTAATATACCTAAGAGTTCCCTATTGCCTGGCACCCTGGCACCTACTTGGCTTAAGTGTCTTGCCCAACCCTAAACTAGGCCAGTTGAATTTGCAAGTTCAATGAACCAAATTACTAGATAATTATAAAATCTCTATTTTTGTTCAAGGGCTGTCCTTTGAGGAAACACAATGCTCCTTAAAATAAGGATGAAATCCATAGCAAATATGACTGAAGTGAAGTGGAAGTAATAGTTATTGTTCCATTGAACACAAGGAAGATGGAGCCTGATAAAGAAATGGAAAGTTAAGAGTAATGAATGCATCATTTGTCCATGTATCCAGAACAGTTTCACATACACTGCTACTGCATTTGTCTTAAAAAAAAAATCACTGTTCCTGTGCAAGAGTAAAACTTGACTTCCAAGTGAAAAAGCAATGAAATACAAGGAAAGATTAAGCCATTCCATCCCTTTTCCATTTTAAAATATAACATCTTGAACAGAATCAAATGGTGCTACTTGTCTGCTGGCAACTGGTAGCTGAAGGAGGAGGCTTATTCCCTGTTGCTGGCTGCCAGTTTCTTTTCCAGTCTCACTTCCATGAAAAGTAGATCTCCAACACATGAAAAAAAAAAAAGTCAAGTCTTTAACAAAGCACAAGAGCGTCAGATTCCTAGGAACAATCAAGATTTCACCAACCTCTGCTATTGCCATAGTACAAGAGAGGCAATTATTTCACAGTTAAAAAAAAGGAATCTCTTAACATTCAATCCTACAGGAATAACAAGAGGAAAGGATACTATAACTATGGGGAGGAAGATCCCCAAACCTTTTCCAGGAAAAATTATAATGAAAGACCCACTGTCCATACCCAAAATCTGACAGAAGAGGCAAGATGCATCCACTCAGAGGTTATGTACTTCTACTGTCAATACTGCCCCTCATTCCTAGCCAGAGCAAACACAGTGGTCCTGGCTACTCCCAAGACCTGCTTTCAGTAAGGTTTTCCAAGTACAGCAATGCTCAGTACTCAGCCGAAAAGCCTGGATTTATGTCATTCTCCCAAACAGTTGTGCTAGGTTGAGGGGGTACTGTGAAATTCTGAGCCTTTGTGTGTTAATCTCCAAATCCCAAACCGTAGCTGTTTCCCTCCACCGAGAGACCTTCATGTGGTCCCCAGGTGAATCGGGGTCAGGGCTAAAAAAGGGAAAACTGGAGCTCCTTAGGAGAGGCTCCTTATATACATATTCTGAAAGCACAATCTCACACTATTTAAAACAAGCTATTTATAAAGTCTTCATAGATCTTTAAATATGAGAGGCACTTCAAAATTAGTTTGACTTATAATTTCAGCACCAGACATTGTTTATGACATGACTGATGCTGCAAAATTAGAAGATCAAACTAATAACCTTTAGTGAGTGCATAGTTAACCATCAGTTTAACCATTATTTCTACTAGCAGGAGAAAGCTTTTTATTGAGACTACCCAGTGCTGAGAAGCCCACTGCAGACAGCAGAAGAATCAGGCATAAAATGGCATGCAATGCAAACCCCATTTCCCAGTTCATATTAGGAGGAAAAAGCTTTAACCTACCCCCGCGTTATTGCATTTAGCAAGAAACATGTGGAGCTTTTAAATTATTTTCTACAGAACAAATTCTGCTAGTAGCTCTACAGTTGCCTCAAAAACCTCATGATGCATGGCACAATGATACAGCCCTGTTTCACTGCCCCATGTGCATCCCTGCAGGGCTGTATTCACCAGGGTGGCATACAAATATGGAATCGCTATCATTTAAAACAGATTTGCTGTATATTACTGTGACATACAGATCTCGCTTTGGGAAAAGAAATCCCTTCTCCTTATCCACCTTAAACACCTGCTGTTGTGGCAAATGGAAGCCTCGCTAGTATACAACCAGCATCAGCTGAGCATAGCTAATGAAAGGCGGAAAGCGAGGTCTGAATTCCGCACCGGCCGGCTCCCCGCCGCCTGTCACCGTATGCTCAATGCCCCAACATTATTACTGTTCAAGCTCCCGGGAGGGCCCGAGGCCACGCTGCAGGTGCAGGCTCGGAGGCGTTCAGCGCACCCCGCAGAGTAGCCCGACACCGCCGTGCAGACCCCGCTCGCTGACGGCGCGGTGACCGCTACAGGGCGGCACGCACCCGGCGCGGCTCTACAGGTCCCGCTCCGCAGCGGCGGCGGGGCTGGGGCTCTGGGTGGGAGGGAGCCCTCCTCCTGCGGGCACCACGCAGCCTCCGAGCCCGCGCTGCCCGGCCCGGGGGGAGGAGGAGGGCTGCTCCCGCGGCCGGCCGGGCCCTTACCCATGCGCCTCACGTAGTGTTTTGTAGGAAGTTTCCACGCTCCCCGGTTTAATCCGTGCACAGGCGGGTTGGAGAGGAGCGCGGCTGAATAGCGGGGGAAGGGGGCGGGCGGGGAGGAGCAGGCGGCAGCAGGAGCGGCCGTGTGGAATGTTTTAGGGCGGCTTGAGCATCTCCCGGCGGGGTCGCAGCGAGGGGAGCCCGGGCGGGCCGTCGGGGCTCCAGCCTGGGCTCCCGACCGCCGGCGAACCGGGCCCGGAGCCGCGGGGAGCCCCGCGCACCGCCACCATGGGCAGCAGCGCGGGCGCGGAGGACACGGGTGGGTAGCGCGGGCGGCGCGGGGCGGGGGGCGGCGGGTCTGACCTTGCGGCACCGCCCGGCCCGCACCCGGCCGGGGGTGGGGGGTGAAGGCGGGAATGTGCTCTCGCAGGGGAGCCGGGCCGGGGGAGCGAGGCGGTGCGTGCGAGCCCACAGCAACAATTGCTTTGCAGGAGGCTCAGCCTCTCGCAGGCTCCATCCCTAGCGAAGCAGGCACCACTGGTCCACGTTCACAAGTTAAGCATGATGCGAGTGAACGAACGTTTCATTCTCCTGCCTCTCTGTATTATCTAAACCTAGACCACAAACATGAAGTCACAGCACAGGAGCTCTTGTAGCTGGAGACTCCAGGCTTGTGCTTTTACGGAGGATACAGTCTCATTTCTGCAATCCATTGCTTGTCTGAAGGCTGGAACTGCCACTGTCTGGCTGCTGCGCTGCAGGGGAATGCCGTTTATGAGAAAAAGTGTTGCTTGCACCCTGAGCTCCATGCCACACAAACACTGCCTGTTTCTGTGGGGATTTGCTCTCCTTGCAGAACAGTTCACCACCACGCCTTCATTTGCCAGACATCCATGCCCTGGCCTTCCTATCTTATACCTCCCTATATGTTTTCTGAGAAATCTTACCCTGAAGAAATGGTCTTCTCCCCAGCAATTTAGAGAATACAGGCAAGCAGTGTAAACCTGAGCATGACAGGCTGGCTGTGTGGTAACAGAGCTGGCTTTGCAGGACTTCTAGCCATGTTTTATTAGCTCAGCTCAGACCCTTAGGAGAATCCAAATTCATGCTGATTTCTGTTTCATTACATCTTCTCCATTGTCTAACCCTTTCACCTCCTGTGCCCAATTCCTGTAACAGCAGTCCTGGAATACAGTTCACTTTCCTTGACCAGATTGTTAAGGACAAACGAGGTGCTTCTGAAACTCCCAGAGGATACCTGTTTATGTGCCTAACCACACCAACACCTTTTAAGTCAGGTTTGCTGTCACTCACACACAAGCCTGGGACTGAAGCTATTTCAAGTACCTTCAGAATGACCATGCACCAGCAGCTGAGCTGCAGACATCCAAGGGGAGAACAGATGGCAACTGATTCGGTCCATTTTGTTACACGCTGTCGTTTACGAAGTGAGCTTTCGGGCACCTGAGGCTTAATCATGCCAAGAGGATGAATGCGCCCAGCTTGAGCAGACGTTTAAGGTACTCATTTCCAGTACTGAGCCATTACAAAAAAACTCCATGGTGGGTTCTGTGAGGGAAGGAAACCCAAAATACAAGAAAGATCACTGAGGAAGTCCTTCTTTAACACTTACTGGATACTTTCTTAATCTCAGTATCTCTGAAAACATAAGGGTGAAAGCTAGGTGTGGAAAAAGTGACACTCAAACCACCAAAGAGCTGGGGCTGGGATCTTCAATCTGCACCAAACAAACACTGGCAGAGTTGGGCTGGTGATGCTGCTAGAATAAGGATTTCATCATCTTTCTTCTACCTGCCTTACAATATTTAGTGGCCATGGTGCTCCCCTTCACCCTCCATAGGTGCAGCCACCATCCCTAGCTCATACCTCCATTCTCCTTACATCAATGGTCTGTGTGCTAAGATATTTTCCTCATTCCTATTTTCTTTAGCACTCAGATTGTTACTTCCTGGCCTCACAAGGGTCTCCAAAGGCCTTTTATTTCACAGCAGGATGTTAAGGAGACTTTCTTTATGCCAGTGTTTTTATATGGGCAATGAATCAAAGGATGACTAGAGTCTGACCTATAAAAAACATCAAGAGAGATTAGTCTGAGGCTAGCACCTACAAAATGACTCTGCAGATTCTAACTGATATAATGCCTGTCCTCATCATACTGCCCTAAAGGTTATCCTCAAGGATTTCTGGATCCAGGCCATGTTAGTTAGTATTCAGAGTCTTCTGACTCACAACTTGACACAAACATTGCAGCAAAGGAAAGGATATCTGAGTAACTGGGAAAGGACATCGAACCTGCATGCAGCACTGAAATGTGAAAACAATAAAAAGGCACTCAACATCAGTCCTGGTACCACAGTAATTAGAGCAAAAAGTTTTCCAAACTTTAAGGCTTTAATTACAATTTCTGAAATTCAGGACAAGGAAGAGAAGAACACAAAGCTCTATATCAGAGTTTTCCAGAACCAATCCTGTCCACCCCCAGCAAAGCGGCCACTGGTTTCTGATGCAGCTGTTTTAACCAAACTCTTGCCAAATAAGACTAACATACCTATTTCTTACCAATCCATGTTTCAGCATCAGTCAAGCTTTGCTCAGAGGTCTACCACATAACATCTCCTGACAAGCACATCATGTACAAGCAAATCGCACTAATCCCAGTGTGTAACCTGCAAGAGTAGTAAGACTGGAAGTCATATTCTTGGAATATGATGGTGAAGAAATGTCACCTCAAACACATATTTCTCTGGACTCAGCTCAAATGTGGGGTTCTCCAAGGCCAGCCTGTCCCTAAGATTTCTCTGTCTTTCAAGACAGCAATTGTTTTTTTGGGGGGGTCTGGCTTCCCCAGGTAATGTCTAAATATTATTTTCCCTTATAAACCTTTAATTTAATTTTTACAAACCAGTGTCCAGGACTTTTGGAAAGTATTTTTTCCCCTTAACTGGCTCTCATTCAAATCAACTTATTTGTGACATAAATTTGTGCTATTGAACCTTCTGTGATTCCTTTGTTTCCCACAGAAGGTCAAACTTAAAGGAAACACTGGAAATATGCCCAATACAAACCTGTACAACAGGTGGGCTTGATCTGTGATATGTTTTCAAAAAGTAAATACTGATTGGTTTTGACATTACTTCTAATTCCCATAGTCCATATCTGTGTCTTTTCTGCAACTTGACTTACAACAGTAAGAGAAAAACAAAGGATCTCATACACAGCTCTACAGAATAAACGGAACATTGGGTTTAATCTGTAGTAAATGTGTAAAGAATGTGATAGGAAAACATATTATTTAATACCTTATATAATGAGGGTTATTGCAAGAAGAGACTTTTCTTGCCCTTTTAATACTTGTTTTAAAATTTTCATTCTTTAGGATAAAATTCAGAAATCCCACGAATTCTGAAGTGAGAAAAGAGACACCAAATGAGATAAAAGTTCTGTCCATTTCTGTCTTCTTACGAATACCAAATCCTATTCTTACTTTTTCTGTTGCTCTTAATTGTAGGCTGTCTCAGGAGATGGCTACTTTCAGCTATGACTCAGTACAGAGTAGAGATACTGGAACTCCCTTTAAACTGGCTGCCAGTGCAGGTACCTGAAGCAGTGTAGCCATGGCAGCACCCAGCTCTGACTGGCCTAATTACTCTGCCAAGAAATAAAGGGATACTGGGAACTCCCTGGGGGAAAGACAGTTGAATAGTTAACAGAAAGAATTTCCCTGTGAGGCACGTTTGTTAAATAGGTGTTAACAGCAAAAAAAACCTCAAGCTCCAGCCTTTGTCCTTTGGCACTTGTGATGTCCCAGTCTTTCCAATTCTCCTCCTGTCTATAGAGACAAAATAAACATGTGATTTCAATATCTGATAGAAAACCTGAAATCAAAATTATTCCCACCCCAACTAAAATCTATATGTAAGACCTCCTTAAAAAGACAAAAATAAAAGTCTCCTGGCTGGAAACATACACAGCTCTCCTGGTGACAGTAGCAGGGTGGACATCTTGCCTTCATAACACAGAGGGTCAGTCTCCAGAGGTTCACGAGGAGCATGTGTTTACTATGCCTGTAAAAATGTCAGGATATGGATGCGTTTAATGGGGAAGACCAAGCAGAAGAAACAAATGAGAACAAGATTTTGGGGAAGGGAAATCCCTTCTGTTATCTTTTTTCCCCACCAAGTTTTCCTCATACACAAAAGTGAACACACACAGAGGAAGATGAAGGAGCAATTTTACCAATATGCTCATTTTCTTACAAGCTCAGAATGCACGCAGCATTTTTCTGAAAATGGAGCCCAAGACTTCACTAAAATTGCACACACAATGTTTTGTTTTACAAGTTGGATTTATTTATTTAGCTTTATAAGCTAAATTACATAAGCAAAGACCACATTGATTGGCTGAAATTCCCTCTGAGGTCAATGCAAGTTTAACTACTTTAAGGAGTGAGGTGTAAAGCCATTTCAGAATTTCTCCAGGTGGAGACCTTGGTGAATATTGCCAAAGCAGAACCTGTAGGTTTGTGCCCAAATCTGACAGAATGCTGTTTGAAACAGCCATGTACTGAAATGGCTCCATTTTGAGGAGACAGAGAGCCAGAAAGCTGTGAGTTTGCTGTCTCATAACAGAGGCCAGTAAGTGGATGGTGTGTAGAGGCTGAAAGTTGCAACTTTATCACATTAATTTAAATGTGAAAAAGCAACAGGACATTACTAAAATCCAAACTGCTTTTCATTTCCAAATGTTCATATGCTACAGATCAGATATACACACCCCATTCAAATTTAAACAAAATTATTCTACTTTTCTATACAGGCAAAGAAGCAATAGAGGTGCAAATCCCCCAGAGTCACCAGGATGTGATGCCCAACGATGAGCAGTAATTACTGCAGCAACAGTTCAGCCAGCATGAGTGTCAACGAAATGTCTGCCTTCTCTCTGACTTTAGAACAAAAAACTGGCTTTGCCTTTGTGGGAATCTTGTGTGTTTTCTTGGGACTTCTAATTATCAGATGCTTCAAAATTCTGTTAGACCCCTACAGTAGTATGCCTTCATCTACATGGGAAGATGAAGTTGAGGGGTTGGATAAAGGAACATTTGATTATGCGCTTGCATGAAAACTCGCAGAATATCCTGCCTTATATTTGATGTTGATTTCATTTTGGAAACCAACTGTTGTTACATTTGTTATACATACCTGTGTTTTGGAGATATGTTGGTGCCATCCATTTTGTTAAATAAATATTTGTTGCAGACTCAAAAGGCACTGCATGTTGCTTTTGTTTGAGTAACAGTTAAAGGATAGATAAGAGATAGTTAACAGCAAATAAATACTACAATAAACAATTCACTAGAAAGTTACCATGGTCAAAAAGTATTTTCAGAATCAAATGATACCTGCCTCTTCAGAGGAGGATCTCTTTTCTACTGAGTCTCATGATCAGCTGTGAAAGGTGAAAGATAAAAGACATTCACAAATAGTGAATGCTTAAGTGTAATTCCTTCCCATCTCATCTGACAGTTTTCTGAAGCTCACAGGCTGTGCTTGTATACTGAGAATATAAAAATGGAGGACAACAACTGGCTGTGGCTCAGAGGAGGTGCTTGCAAGAGGTGTGTGTCCATGTTGCTGGGACAAAAGGAACAAGGGCTGTTCTATGCACTACAAACAACAAGGAACTAATGGGAAAGCTAATGATCACATCAACTAACTTACCTCTCACCTTCCAAGAAGAGCAGGTGCTGTACCAGTGACTGTTTATAAGGAAAGTGTACATTGCTTCTCCTGTATGAAACTTGATGTGGTCCTCTGCAAACAGTGCGTAACTCATATGAGAGTATTTTTTGATAGGTTTCCCTTCTCCTAGTCTACAGCAACAGAAAGTCAAGCAGAATTAGTGGAAGGGAAACAAACATCATCAAGGAAGTTTTTGATTCTACAAATATTCTGCAACACGAAATATATTACCTGCTTAGACCTCCATTCTGAACCAACACCACTACAGTGGTGAAAGAGAAAAAGTGAATGTTAGGTAAATTCTTAGAGTCTGAATTGGTCAAAGCATGGCACTTTTTTACTCCACTTGATTATGGAAGAAGATTCAGTTGAAACTCGAGCTTAACCTGTCTGGTTTACAGCTCCCAGCAGTAATTGCACTAGCTTGGCAAGGCCAAAGCAGAGAGAGTCATGCTGAACACACATCTGTAGCTCCGAGAGGGGCAGTGGTCTAGAGCTAACTGGAGATCTCTGTACTCTCCAGCCTCTCATCACAGTTGGTTCTTCTATTCATGCTCCTGTAACTGTGCACAGAGTATGATCTGGATTGTCAGACTGAAGAATCAGTCGTAGGAGCTTCTATCAAGGCAGAAGAACTAACAGTGAAAGCAGAGACTCAAATCTGGGTATTCAAGGTCACCCTCACATACACAGCTGTTTAGCAAGTGTGACAACACTTGACACAAATTCAATTCAGATTTTAAGAAGGGTGGCATTAGAATTTTAAGCAGTCACTTTTGCTAAACAGCTCTGTTTGCAATGAGGAGCAAAGACAAGGAGATCAGTTACAGTAATTGGTTTCTTTTGCATTCTGAAAAATACATATTGTCCCTTTTGACCTATATACTAGGCAGAGGCAGACAGTGGAATAGAAGACCTCAACTGCCATTTTGAATATGAAATACTTGATTGTACAGGGAAGCACATGAATCTCCTGTCTGAAGGATATGAGAGGAACAGCCAACACTAATCTACACTGGTCCATTTGAATTACAAAACAATTTTGTGAATGTAAGAGCTTTTAACCTGCTTCAGATTCTGTGTAAGAAAAAATGCCAGATCTTCAGAGATTCAGGATGTTACATTTATCTTAGTTAATCTAACTGCAACATCAAAGGTAGAGATCAGTACACTGATTCATGTGACCTGTTAATGCTGGATAGGATCATCCACTACAGAGACCTGACACTGCCATTCTTTTTCCATGCACCTAATCAGCACAGCTGAGCTCTGTGCTGTCAGGTTAGAGTCCTGAAGGTATTTATGTTACCTGGGTTAAATATAGTTTGGTTATCTCTAAACTACACAGCAAACATACCCAAAGAACCCCAATACTGCTGTCCTACTTTTGTTCTTAACCCAGTCTGTTGCTGGAAGCAAGTATCAAATTCTCTTATGATTAGAAAGCTTTATCATTTCCTGCCCATCCTCCTCTGCACCCCCAAAAGACAAGGGAGCGAGCCTTCCCGGTAGGAATACACAAAACATACTTTTTCAAAGGTTTTCCTTAAGTCGACAGAGTAAAACTTCAAACCGGGTTAGGCGCAAATGGTTTAAAACCGCATGTAGGACAAGGTGACCCATCAATGACTGATCCACTGAATTCTCTGGAATCTCTTCTGCATAAAATTCTTTGAGCAGAAGCCTGAACTCTTATTATCTCCATTATTATATACGCAGAACTGAAAAATAGAGAGATCATTATCTGTGCACAGAATGAGGCATAGCTGGGAGGGAAATGGAGATAACAAAAGTATTTTCAGTCCCCCTTAGAAATTTTGCAATACCATAAACCCAGTAATTGTAATGGATAGGAACATTTACTGGTTAATAGTTAACAAACTAGAATGGCTCTCTAAATCACCATCCAGAAATGTTTTGAACAAGAGGGATTGGATGGTCTATTCAGTATATTAAGCAGGAGAAAAATCTGGCCAATAAGGCAGAGTCTGTAATACCTCAAATAGAGGGTCACGCTATACACATGAATAAAAGAGGCAGATTGTCCTTCCCTAAAAACACAGGATTGATGGTAAGTTAAATTATCCTGAATAAGGTAAACTTGAATATTTATGCATAATGCTAGAATGCTAAACACAAAATTAATGGCAAATAACAGTTGAGACACCTCTGGAAATACAGTGTGAAAATCAAAGTATTATTTTCAAGAACCACAGAAAGGTAAGAGACTTTTCTTTTCCTAACAGAATAGTAATATTATGGAAATAAAATAGTGAAATTACAGAATCATTTTACTTGGTAGCAAAAAGCTCAGTGTTATCAAAGAATCAGGGTTTCACTCAGTCATGGAGATGGAAACAAACCTACTTTCACTGACCCTAATGACAACAGATTTGTTTTTGCTCCTTCATGCTTGAAGATGAAACACTTCCTTGCAACTTTAAAAGGCTGAAGGAAGCAGACTACTACTGTCTGTGATCAAAAATGTGTAATAGTAGTAAAAATAATATTGATTATCCAAATTCAATAGAAGTAAAATAAACTAAATAAATGTAACATGTTGCTGTGAGGCTTACAAAATATTTAGCAAGAAAACAAATATAAATATGAGGGGGGTATAAAGTGGTATTATAGCAGAGAGGTGACAACAGAATACTATCTGTAGCTGCTGGAAGTAGTGAGAAAATATGCTTTAGCTATATCTCATACTGAAGATGGAGGACTTTTGATTATCAGCTGTTGAAATTTATTTTGAGATGTGATTTTAGAGAACATGTACATTGCTGAAGTGTAGCTATTGATGCAGCTGTCTTCCAGTGCCAAATGGCTAAATGCATTTCACTAAATTATTGAGAAATTCAGACTGGAAAAAAATCTCGGGGGGGTCATCTAGTCCAACCTCTTGTGAAAACACAAAACTTTAAACAAATGCCTCTAATGGACTTATTTAACCAGATTTTGACTTCATATATTCCTTTATATAGATTAAGTCTTGTTTCTAAAACTTTCTGGTTTTACATACTCTTACAGATTTTCAGTGTCTAAGCATGCTCTGTTTTAGTCAGTTTGAACAGACCTGGACTCCTACTGAGTTATACAGGTCTATACAATCACACTCCCATATCCTCCTTAGAAGCATGTTTAGAAGCATGTTTCAAGGTGTATGGATTTCCATTGTTTTGATAGCTTATTTCAAAGCCATGTAGGCCATCCTTGTAAGTTGCTGCAAAGGTACTTAACCTACTAAAGGCCTTAAATGTGATTACCCCTTTTGCTTTTGGGGTTTTTGTTTGCTTGTTTTTTGGAGGGGGCTGTGTAGGAAAGCGAAGGTGAGAAGCAGATTGCACAGCTCTCGTATGTTCACCTTTCTATGGGCTGCCACTCAGAGGGACCTAGAGAGGCTGGAAGAACAGGCCAACAGCAATCTCATGGCATTCCCCAAGGACAAATGCAAATCAGACTCAACCCTGCACTGTACGGGCTGGTGTCTCACTGGGAGGGAGCAACTCTCTCGGAAGGGACCTGGTGACCAGCATGCTACAGAGGAGTCAGCACCATGCCCTGGAAGCAATGCAGGTGAACAGTGTCCTGGGCTGCGTTAACAGGACCATAGCCAGTAGATCAAGAAAAGCAATCATTCCCCTCTAGAAACCCGAAGTTTGTCTACCTGTCCTGCCCTTCCCTGCCTTTACTTCCAAGATATTGATAAACTTGTGCGTGTCTGATGGAGAGCCACCAAGATGGTCAGAGGTGGGAGTATTTGCCCTATAAGGAAATGGGGCTTGTTTAAGCACAAGAAAAGGCATTAGGGGAACCTAAGCAGCCCTCCTGTACTTATGAGGAGGTTACTGGAAAGGTAGTACCTTGTTTTTTACTGAAGTGCACAGAAAGAGAGAGAGAGATGATGATCATAGGGTGACACACAGAAGGTTCTGACTGGATATACATAAAAAAAAACAAAACCAAACCCACTTAGAGGACAATTAAGTATTATAATAGGCTGACAAGGCAGGTTGAGGAATCTGCCCTTGGATGACGTCAAGACCTGGTTGCTAAAAGCTCTAAGTAAGATGATTTACATTCAATGTTCCCTCTGCTTTGAGTAGGAAGTTAGACCAGTGTGGATTAAGCCCAGCCACTGCGCTTGTTGCTCGGGATGGAGCAGCCGCATTGTCTGTTGTTTTACCATCAGATCCAGAGACATCTTTTATGTGCTCTTTACAGAACAGGGCTCTGTTAGGTGTAGGCCAAGCCCCAGCACGTTGCAGTGAGTTGTCCCTCTCTGGTATTGCCAGGACAACAGGACACCTTGTCTAAGTGTTTATTAGTTTTCCTGCATTTTGCACTAGTTCAGGGGTGAAGTTCCACAGCATTGGAGGGGCCCACTGGCCCAGATGCTTGCCCATATAATCTCACACATGCTGCCACTCATGACTGTCCAGCCTCAGGGAAGATCTCCTGGTGGTATTCTTAGATAGTTGTTTAACCTTAGACAAGACCCGAGCCCAACGCTGCTTAGCTTCTGAGATCAGACACTATCAGGTGTTCTCGAGGTGGTATGGCTGCAGGTAAAACATACGCAGCATACGCAGCAACATGCTAGTTCCCAGCAAAAGAAGCAGGCTGGTTTCAAGGGCATTAAAAGAATATCCAAAGTCTTTAACATTCTCAAATGCTGCTGTAAATAATCTGGTGGGAGCAAAGGGTGTGAGAGGATGTCTCCTCCATAGATTGACCCTCCAAGGGGGGGAAAAAGAGGTGTAATTGTTAACAATTCCTATTATATGCTTCCCATAGCATAGAGGCGATGGCCATGCCAACAACGCATGCCAGACCAGTTTTCTGATCAATAATTCTATTGTATTACAAACCATTATCATAAAGTACAGCAAAATGAGAACCATAACCCAGGCCCCAGAGCTGATAAACACTAAACCAGCAAATACTGACTGCAAGTGAGGTATAACATAATGGAACTCTGAGACCAAGCACAACCCCAAGAGCAAATAAATCAATATTGTGATGAGTGACTATTAATCCAAAACAATGAATACTTGTCACAAATACGATTAGATACATTCTGCTCAGATCCGTCGTTATCTCAACCTTTCATGCCCCACGCTGGGCACCACAAAGAACTGTTGTGGTTTATGCCCCGTCTGTCACTCACTCCCCCACTTCTCCCTCCCCTTGCTCCTGGAGGGACGGGGAGGAGAATCAAAAGAATGTAACTCCCACGGGTTGAGATAAGAACAGTTTAGTAACTAAGGTATAACACAAATCACTGCTGCTACCACCAATAATAATAATGATAAGGGAAATAACAAGGGAAGAGAATATAAAGCTAAAAAGGGAAGGAAAAAAAAACCAACAATAAATACAAATGCTGTACAATGCAATTGTTTGCCACCTGCTGACTGATACCCAACAACCAACACGAGCAGCGATCTGGGCCTTCTGTGTGAGTTTCTATACTCTGATGTGCTCTGGTATGGAATACCCCTTTGGCTAGTTTGGGTCAGAGGTCCTGTCTTTGCTTCCTCCTGGCTTTCTGTGCCCCTCCTCACTGGCAGAGCATGAGACTGAAAAAGTCCTTGATCAGGGTAAGCACTACTTACTTAGCAACAACTAAAACATTAGTGTGTTACCACCATTGTTCTCAGACTAAAGTCAAAACAGCACTGCACCAACTAAGAAGGAGAAAAATAACTGTTACAGCTGAATCCAGGACAACCAGATAAGCTTCCAACCTTCGTGATTCTATGACTTGCTATGATTTCTTTCAAATTATCTTTTTGAGTGTACAAATGTGAAATTGACTGTAAAATTCTATGAACTTTTCAATGCCCAGGACTATTGTTAGGATTTCTCAATAATTACTACTTTGCCATAGTAATTTATTTCCTCCATTATAATTTAGGAAGCCCAATGCTATTTTTGGATCTGTTTCAGCTCTCTCTTTATTATTTCATATTTCATCAATTTCATTTACATGAAAGATGAACGATTTGCTATATCTTAATTGCTTGCTCATAAATTGTCACCATCCTGTAACTACTGAAACTTAGTTGAGCTTTTGTAGTTATTTTTTTACAGATATATTTGATTCAAGCTTTTCATGCAAATTTAATTCAAGATTATGAGAAAAATATACATGGTATCATAATACTTAAGTGGAACATAAACAGTAAATGGACTTCATGGAATCTTATATCCTTTTCTCTGTCTTACTAAACATACATTTTCTCTGGCTTCAATTAAATATTGCATTATTAAAAGAAATGCTACATTTGGAAATCAATTTTATGTATGTAATTCTGATCCAAAGCCCATTTTATGTAAATGGCATGATGAATCCTGATTTAGAATCCTGCCAACTATGCCAAATTGTTGCAAATGGGCAATTTAGATTGCTTAAAGAATCACTTTCAAAGGTATTAGCAAACATGATTTTAAAACAGTGTTGTAAAAGTTACCATACTACAAGGTTATGCAAGGTATCAGTCACTTACTACTGATCTATCACTGGTAAAAAGTTCCTCTGCCTAAAGGAGCAACATTGAGAGGCAACCCAGCCGAAGTGGAGGTCACCACCATGCAGCCACGCTGCCTAGCAGGAAGAGCTCAAAGAAGGCTTATTTAGGCTGTCATGTTTATGGAATACAGTGGTTAACTTGTAGTTGAATTACATGTGATGGCAAAGGTATGCATGAGACTCCTTGTAGCCACAACTTTCTTTGTTCCTTGATAAGTAAGTCCTGGAAAAGCCACCTGCAATTCACGTGTTAATTGCACGAAGGCTATTACAAGCCCATCTGCATCAATGTTCACTGTGTTACTCTGCTCCTTTGTGGGGTTTCAGAGAACATGTTGAACCTTGAGGAGTTCTTGGCCTATTTACAACTTAGGCCTCTACCTCCTTTACAGCCTGTACCAAGCTACCGGTAGTTTGATTAAGAGGTCGAGCACATTCATCGTAGATGGCAACAGCCCCACAAACTCAGGCTCTGACTCAACTAGTTTTTCACTCAACAAGTCATAGGATTACAGACTCATGGATATTTGATGAGGCAGGGAAGAGCTTATGGTGGAAAACATATCTAACTGTGCAAGTTAACAGAAATGTTTTATTTATATTTTTTATGGCAGAAACACAGCAGACAACATTAAGAAGATTGCTTAGAGGTTTAAAGAAAAATATCACAGCACTTCATTGCTTGAAGAGCACAGATTCCATATGCAACGGCACTAAACCTTTTGCTGTAGCTGCAACTAACTAGCTGCAGCCACAGAAAAGTAAACGGATCACTGACCTAAAACCACAGCATCCCTCAAGATGTCGATGAATAATTTGCCAAACGTATTTTTGGATCCAAATGCAAATCGGTTTCAAGTTAACATAATTAATGAAAGCCACGACAACAATGAGACATCCCAAGAGGATGTGGGCTCTGACCCACCACATTATGAAGAAACATCTTTTACTGACGAAGCACATAACAGACTGAGAATCAGTTACAGACCAGGAAAAACAGAATTATATGACAACTTCCTTCAAAATGGGGAGAAAACAGAAGCTAGTTTACATCCCTATGATACTCACAATAAAATGTATTATCTACAAACTTTTGGCCATAACACAATGGACCCAGTTCCCAAAATTGATTATTATAGAAACACCGGCAGCGTCAGTGGGAATAAGCTCAGCAGACCAAGCTTATTAGAAATTCATGAACAACTGGCAAAGGTAAGTGGAAAGGAAAGATACAAATTTTCCCTGTTCCATTTCCAGGCTGTTAATTCTGTTTATTAATATGAAAAAGTCCTTAAATTCATGGACCTTGCCCAAGAGAAAAATTACAGGTAATCACTTACCATATTTCCTTTGGTAGCTGCAGTATGTTTTCTGCCCTGTACCCTGCTCAAAGCAAAGACTGTTATTACAAGGTGATAGTAATGTACTTCATTAACAGGAAATCACAGCTTAATCTGGCCTAAATGTATAGAACTACTGAATTTCTTCTGTTTCACATAGTTACGACGGCAGATGATGAATATCAATTCATAATCTAACCAAGTTACACAATTCACACTTACCATGAACTTGACTTTAACATCAATGCATAACGTTTCATAGATTCCTCAGTTTTATTCTTTTTTATATATGCATTTGAATATTATAAAAAAAATAAGTGCAATAAATGCAATTTAAACTAATCAGAAATCTAGAGCACTACCTGCTTATTGCTGTAATGAGCCATTCAAACAGCAAGAAAGAACCCAGAACAAGGGTGTTGAGGTTGAAGTGCTTGCTCAGAAAAGCAATAGCAGGCAAGAGTTTCCAAGTACTGATTCAGTGAATGAATTTAGGCCTTCATGCTCATTATATCAATGAATTTGGAGAAAATCTGAGGAGTCTCTTGAATTACTACATAGAAAGCTTTTATGAAGGAATAATTTGGCTAAATTCCTGCTCATCTATTACACAGAAGAGCTGTTTAGACTTTACTTATGTAATAGATGGCACAATATCCATGTAAAATATACTCACAGAGAGAACTGCTGAACAGGATACAACTGGCTAACCTGCCTTTGAAAGATTTTCTAGAGCTGTTTCTCCTCTCCCCTTCTGAGTGGACCTACTTTTGGTTAATACAATGTAGGAGTTTACTATTGATGCATATGACCAATGGATTTTATGGACAAAACTTCCCCTTAGCAGACTCCTCCTGTTTGCTCGACATTTTTTTCCACAAACACACACTACAGTAAATGAATAATGAAATACCAAACATGTCCTTTATTGTGATAATCCTCACTTTTGTCACCCTATAATAAGAACTTGTGGGGACAAGAAAAACTAAATTAAGCACTTTGAAACAGTTAAACTATTAAAAACCTTACTGCAAAACAGTGGAATAACATGATCCTCTACTGATTTTGGTAAAATCAGACTCTTCCTCCTTAAGCCACAAGACCAAGTTTTCTGTAAAAAGCAGAGGAGAGACACAGGATACACTTACTTACAGAATTAATATCAAACCTTTCCTGAGGTTCTTAATTGTGCATTTGTCAGGGCAGGGCTGGAAAGAGAGAGATCACCTCAGACTAGAAGCACCAATATGCAGCAAAAACCCCTATACGTTTTCTGTGTTGGATAAGAGTGAAATAAGAAATCTCCAGAGAAAACACACTCTCATCACCATTCCACTCATACTTCTGAGGTCAGAATAACTTGGACAAGCATCTGATTTTTGGATGCTGGTCCAGATCTTGTTCAAACTCCAGTTCTCTGGAGATTCACCTGTCCTAAGGAGGTTTAATATAAAGTAAAGAAATCAAGCAAAAAATAGCCATTAAGAAAGTAGGACCTGATTCTTTATGATCTTATTAGGACATATTCCTAGTTTGGACCTGACTTGTTTAAATGAAGGCCTCCACAGACCTGCCTAAAATGGAGAAACGGGTTACCTGGGTCACCATTTATTTCCAAAAATGAATGCAAAGTGGATGTGAAAAGGAAGGAATACAAATTTGGTATCCCTACTCATTTGCAGATGTATAATCTGCTACTCAAGGGACTAAATACATTGCCATGCCCAGAAGAAACTTCCTCTCATAGAAATAATTTACTTTAGTAGTAGCCAGAGAGGAGAAAAATAGTGTATTGCCTTTGAAAGTAATGCTGAATGAACATGTACTGAACATTAGCATATTAAGGGATTTTCAGTTTTATCTATTATTAGAAAATTAAGGGGTTTTGCTGTTGCATCTCTCAGTGGTTTATTTTTAAAAAGATTAGATAAATTTGTTTAGGTTTTTTACAGCTTTCACTTAGAGAAAAAAAGAAGGCAGATTCCATCCCAGAATAAAATGAATGAAAAATTGCTTTACAGGTCGGGTTTGTTAGGGAAAAGAGCATCATCTAGCTTGGTCATTCTGACTTTTCCCAGTATCCAGCTTAAAGAAGGATAATCTTATCCTCACAGAATAGGAAGGTGAATGTCAGAGGTAATGGGATTTTTGCTACACTGGCAACCTGCTGTGCTCTTAAGTAAGTGAGTTGTGGCACTGGTCTAAAAGGCCGCTAACCACAGCAGTGGAACAAATGACCCACCATTACCATGGCTGGAGTTTATTCCTGGCTGTCCCATGGACTCACTTCATGACCTTGGACAAATCACTTTGGGCTACAGAGCTTGTTCTGAAGAATAAACAAGCATGTGGTCACTAAATAGTAGATTTGTAAGGAAGGGAATTAAGATGGTATGAAAAGCTTGAGCTTCTATCAAGAGGCAAAAGCATTAAGTGCAGCTGGATGAGATGCCTATCCACCAGCCCCAACATGCAGCAAGCTCTCTAGCCATCGCTAAGGAGGGGATGAAATGCCACACTGGTTGTGTATGGGGGCTATAATAACCCAGACTAATAACCCAAGATGCAGTTCTGGAGAAGATGCTTTGTTTCTTTTTACTTAACACTAAAACCTGGGCTTACTACACCATACCCCAAGGCAATCCCACCCCCTTCACCCCAAGCTTTTTTGAAACTCAAAACTTTGACAACTGTTCTGTCAAAGCCCTTTACCAGATTCTGATAAGCAACACATGTTTGACTTTGGATTGCTAAACATCACATAAGCATTCCCATTGTGCTTTGATGCTGGTCTTAACATCAGAAGATAAATATTAATATTTAATACACTTTGTTAATATGTAATTTTTCAAATGTCAGAACATAAAGCAGGCTGAAAAGAACTTCAAATATCCAGTTCCCACACTGCTGGAGTCAAATTTGTGTCATCTTTCAGCAAGATGTGTCATTTTTTTTACACATATTAAGCCACAAATCACCAATTAAATCCCTAAAAAATTGTCTAAGTGCTATTTCACAGCTGATGGCTGGTGATAATTACATGGGCTTAATATTTATCCTACATAAGAAATAATCTAACCTTTCTTCATTCTGGCTATTCTCCACACTTGTTATGGGGACTTGATGAGCTCACCATCTTTAACCCCAGGAGAGATGAAGACTAAATTGTTCTGAAACAAGGAAGGGATTTTTTTTTTTTTTTTTTAAGACAGCAGTTAACTTTTTATTTTGGTAGCTTTTCAAAATGTTCTGTCACTTTTATTCCACATCCTTAATGCATGAGTAGCACAGGTAGAGCTGCCTGGTAAATAACCAATCATTCACTAAAGCACACCAATTTAAAATGCATTTATGGAAGGTTTAAGGCCATAATTTATGATAATGGCATAGAGAGCACAAATTAATTCAAAGTACATAGGAAATGACTTGTTTCAAGTACAAACACCAACCCTCCCCCTTTTTTTTTTGTCTTTAGAATTCTAATTACTGCAGCAAAAACCCCTCACATTATTCTGCTTATCTTCCTTAACTCACTTAATAATTTACTCTATTTAAGCAAACACAACCATTATTATTTTAGGGTAAGAATTGTCAAAATTATTTGAGTAATTGAGGTGCTCAAAGTCACAGCTTTCAATAGATCTCGTATTCCCATTTCCCTTAGATCCAAAAGCGACATAGGCATCAAGTTTAATCCATGTTGAAATGTATTATCCAGTCACTTATTTCTCATTTGTGAGCACAATCCTGGATTTACTGTGTCAAAGGCATTCCAGAACCTTGCATCATAGTGACTAGAGCCTGCTTCATGAGGGGGAATGACAAATATTAGCATAAGCATCATATACAGTTGGTCTTTATGTCTGGCTTTGGTTTTGTTTGTTGATTTTTAAGTTCATGGACAAAATATAGAAACAGCCTTGAAGCTTAAACAAGACGAAAAAAAATCTCATATTTTTTACAGAATCACAGATATTTCCCTTCCTTGACCTGTTTAGTTAACCTGGAGATATCTTCATCCCCTTCTAAACCCTAAAAGCACCTTGATTCCTTTCCAGAAGTGACACACTCTCCTGACTGTCTGGCAGACTACAGCAAAGTATGTGGTCATTCCTGAAGGTCTTTGTAGAGGCCCCAGACAATACCTGGCAGTTGTTAACCTGATGCCAACTCCTTGCAAAACCAGTCGGAACTTTGTATTAAAAAAAAGAAAAAACAAAACCAAACCAAAACACCACCCCACTCCCCCCCCCAAAGCAACAATGATAACACATATCAACCGCAGACCCATCACTGATTTCTATTCAAGCCACAAGAAACATATCATGATGCTAAATTGCCTCAAAGATTCTGGGGCAGTAGAGCTGAAGAGAAAATAGATTTATATCTGTAACTGCATATGAACAATCTAAACTACTGGGTCATTTATTCTGGTTACACCACAGATGTGGCAATTCTTAAACCTATCTACTACGGTTATACCAGAATTGGATAAACCACAAAAAGAATTTTTGATTTACTGCATTATTTACTCATTTCACTGTCATTTCTCTGACTGTTTTCAAGACTATGTTACCATTTGCTGCTGCAATTATGTTTGTACTTCATTCAACAGAAAGCATCACAGTTCATTACATAACTTTGCCATACAGCACTCAGCTAGGTCTCTCTTTGCTAGTGAGCAATTATTTCTATCTCTACACTTAGCATTATTCATAAATTGTTGCAGCAGCATATAAAGGCTAACCACAAGACCATCATTATGCTAGATGCTGTACTAACATATCAACGCGACATATATGTTGAATACAGTTTACAATAAAAACAATTTAGTATCAGATAATAGTTTATTTACTCTGCTTAAGCAATTCTTTAATATTTTCTTGCTGCTAGTAAGCCCACCTGCTGATGCCTGGTGTGAGCAGAATATGGCACTCTTCTCCAAAGACAGTAAAATCTGATCTTCATTGAAATTCCTTTATTCCATGCCTCTCTTATGCAGACAGGTGTCCTCTGCTTGGCACAAAACTGTATTTGTTTTCTGTGTGATTCTTCAGAACATAGCTGTGAGCACCGGGTCGGTCGAGAGAGTGGCCAATGGAGAAAGCACCACTGGAGATGAGACAGCAGTCAGCAAGGAAGAAGAAAACAAACCAGGATTTGTCAAGTTTGGATGGGTGAAGGGTGTGCTGGTGAGAAACTTACCTGCATTTCTAAAAGAAACAGAAGAAAAACATCAAGATTAGTTTTGCAACATCAAGGTCTTTTAAGAAGTGGGAGGGAGACAGACTTCAGGGATGTTGGGGTGCTTTTTAAAAGCCTGCAAAGGAAGCTACTACCCTTCTGGTTGTTAACACTACTTTTAACATTGCACTAATGAAGTATTTTTTTGTTTAAAACCCAGGTAAGATGTATGCTTAACATTTGGGGTGTGATGCTTTTTATTCGACTTTCCTGGATTGTAGGTCAAGCAGGAATTGGTATGTATCTTATTTAATATCATTTTCAACAGTGAAAGGGATAAAGAGGATAAACTATACATGAGATCATGATTAATATATAATCCAAGATGTGCATTTGCATGTTGAACTAAATAATGTTTTCAAATGCTTGCCAGGGTAAAAGATGTTAATCCTCCAAACTATTGGAATTTTCCAGACTCACAGCTAAATTACTGCTTAGAGGCACGGATCTGTTAACTATGCATATGATCATCACATTTGAGTATTTCTAAGCTTTAGTGAAATTTGTATTTAGATCCTGTAACAGATGTAAACCTCATGACTAGGGCCAATTCCTAATATGTACGTACAAAATTAACCTTTAAGAGTTCACACTTTGCTTATCTGTGAATCCCAAACCTTGTCATCTATATATTAAAAACAACACTTCTTCACACCTCTCAGCAAAGATGAAAACAGAACTGGAAGGAGGTCTCATCTCATCAGGATTTTGTTATTTTTAACTCTAGCACAGCACTAGATACTACTCTATTATGAAACACTAAGCTTTAAAAAGCTCTGCTACAGTTTTCACATAAATATGTACACTTCATTGTGTGCTGCATCTTTGCTGCGGTAGCAGTGTAATTCTGTGTTACATGATAATACAGTCTAGAATAATGGTCCCTAATCTTTGACTAGCACCCAAATGCCATAAAAAACAGCAATCCAAAGGGTGGATGGCAAGTATTCCAGTTTGGATTCTCACAGAGTGGAAATATTAAGTAGACGCAACCTAAAGTCCAAACTCTGGCCTCAGGCATTAACATTCCTTGGTCTTGCAAGGCCGTGGATCAAACTCAGTGCTCAGATTCAGATTGTATATAAATATCATTCACTTACTTGTTAATGGAAGTGAAATGAAACACTGAATCAAAACATCTCCAGAATCCTGCATGGTTGAAGTCTCATTTCCAACAAAGCACAGCAACGTTACAAGAAGTTTCACTTGAGCAAGACTGAGCTTTTAAAAAGAGAAACAAATAAAACACTTATTAAGAAAAATAAACCAGCTACAAATTTACAGAGACATCCATAAGTTTAAAAAAAAAAACACAAAACTAAAAAACCTCAACACCAAAGCAAAAACCAAACCAATAAAAGATCCAAAACTAAGCGGAAGAACTTTATTACTTCTGCAGTGCTCCATGCGTGGCTCTAGCACTGTGCCTGACAAAGGGGGGCTTGCTGATTTTATGATGCATACCAAATGAGAGCGTATAGCCCAGGGCACTCATAAGTATATGCCTTGCCATGAAAATTCTGCATCTTAATATTGCCAAGATTTTGCTCTGGGGTTTCATGCAAAATTAGTTTTTAAGGGCAGTTTAGTAACTTATTGAGATCATCAAGAAGTATTACTTTGTTTTGAGGTGTGAGAATAGCCATAGGCAAGAGTAATTCATTTTTGAACAACTTACTTAGCAGCCATATGCCTGGTTTTGAACCTAAACTTTAATCAGATTTTAACATTAATTTGCACCAACATCAGTTACAGCCTTTCTGCTTTCACATTTAATTTTACCATTTTAATTCACTGATAAGCAGGTTCTCCTTTCTTATGGTTTATTGCTCTGCTGTTGCTTTTTAAAATTGCATGCCTTATGTAAGGAGGTTAACTTTACTTCCGAAAATGAGACATAAAATTCCATTTAAATAATTTCTCAATGCATTTTCTGAATGTCTTATAAGCAATGAGCTTTAAGTCCCTAGTCAAGCTGCTTAAGGAGAAAAGTGATGGAAGCTCATCATCACAAAGGCTCAGGGATTTCATTAGGTAATGCTACTAACATGGAAATTAAATGAGTCAGTTAAATCACCATCTGGGCACCATTTATATCCCCATCATTTGAGGGCCAAAGAGAGAAAACCCGATTATTTCCACATCCTGATGTGCTGTCTCGGCTAAAAGCTCTTACAAGGGGAAAAAATGTAACATTCCAACAAGGTTCTCCACCTATCATCAGCTGGGAAAAGAAGGACAGTATGGTCCTGACAAGGTTTCGGGTCCAAAACTGATTAGGTATGTCCACCTAATCTAGGGACTCTCCAAAGTCTGTACTTGTACCTGTATATGGCATGGTTAGCCAAGGGCAGGAAAAACCACCAAGTTTCTGTTAACTGAAAATCTGGCCCTGAATATTACAATTCTGTTACATTATGTTTGATTACAATGACATTTTGGTCAAGTCACTTTATTTTATGCACTTATCTTCATAAACGTTAAATTTTTTTTTAATTAACATTAAATTCTTCCCAAGCAGCTGTAACTCATCAAATTAGCAGAATATCTGACCTTTTGTAGCATATACATACAAACAACATGAATTGTGAAATGCGATAGAAAATCCTGGAAAAATCCCCTTAGGATGCAATATCCAGTATGAATCAAAGGAAGGAATCTGATCTGGAAGCCAGAAGGTAGAAATAGAGCAGATAAAGCAGTATGTTTGTAGTTGCAGGATCACAGTTTTAATTTGGACAAGCTCTGGTCAATAAAAATTGCTACAAGCAGTGCATGATCTTCAGTTCCACACTGGAGACCTACGTATCTTATGGAAACAAGACAGCTATTGCATAAGTGTTAATAAGTTTAGATAAAACTAAGAACAAATTCCATATTTGACATCAAACTGTAACTGTTTCAATTTATTTTTTTTTTCCCTTCTCCTCTCATAGATAGAAATGGGAATAGAAGCAATAAACTTGAGAGGAAAAAGTCGTATTATTTCTTCACCTGGCTTAAAACAAGAAAGTATTTGGCTCTGTAGTTTGCAATTGCAGCTTGCAATGTCCAGTTTGTACACACGGAAATATTTTTCACTGGGCAGGTAGTATAGCCCTGGAGTAAGTAATCCAAAGAGGCTGTGGGATCTTTGTCCACAGAAGTTTTCAAGATCCAGCTAGCCAAAGTCATCACTGATTTAACCCTGTGTTGGCTATAGCTCTGCTATGACTGGGAGGCTGTTACAGACCTTCAGAAGTCAGTTCTAACCAACGTTTCTATGATTCTAAATCATACTAGGCACCTTCCACCCATGTCTAGCATAGTTTCATAAAGTTAACAGAAACCTGACTATATAGCTAAAGACTGGAAACACTCAGATTTCAGACACTACTCAGACTGAAACCCAGCTCACCTATAACTAATCACCTGTCACTGATCTTCAGGTGTTTGGTTATTTCTGTTTAATGATACAATTTTGTGATATTAGCTAAAAATAAAAATAAGACTCTAAGATTATATATTACAGGTCACCTGCTAAAGCAATACTGGCATTTTCATTTATATTTCCTGTTAAGAGTAAAATCACTTTTTGCAAGGGAAGAGGGAGATGAGAGAGTGAGGAAGCACAGCACTTGATAGGTTGGCATGTAAGGATATAGAAGGCTCACACTCAGGTCTAGTCTCTCTACCTGATAGACTCTTTGTGCTCATGCACTGTGAAACTATACAGTCAGTCTTTCTCTAATTCAATATCTAATTAACTGATGAAAGACACTTAAACACACTTAAAGATACTTACACTTAAATAGCCCAGAAGTATATTAAAGGGAGATACAAGCATCCATGCCAAGGGACACTTGTTTGGTCATTTCCTCCAGCTCCAAAAATCACGAGACTCTTAGGCTCTCAGAAAGAATCACCGCTTCAACACTGATGGGAGTAATTTACTACTGTGACATGAACTCCTTGGAAATGTTCTGAAACTGCAAGTGGTCAACAAACCATCTTTTCAGTTTATTGCTCTAATTCTGGCCTGAAAATTCAATTTAAAGAGAGTGATTTGTAGGAATCATGGAACATGAGTAAAATATTTTATCTTCTTATTACTGACAGGTCTTGGAGTAATCATAATTCTTCTCGCTACGATGGTAACCTCAATTACTGGGTTGTCAACTTCTGCAATAGCAACTAATGGGTTTATCCGTGGAGGTAAAAATCTTAGGGTTACTAATGCTTTCAAGCCCCAAAAGGTCTTTATGTATTATTTTCATATGAGGCAAACCAGAAGGATGATAAAACAAATGGTACAACTAAAGGAACCAGAAGGTAACAATCCTAGCCACCTAATCACAATTTACGGCATGTCTGAGTTGTCACTTTTAATAACCCCAGATTTCAGTTCAGTCTGTGAAGTACGTTTCAGATGTTCCTGCCTACTGCTGAGTAAGAGACAGCTTCTGGCTTTTCAAGTTCTTTTCTTACCTTTCAGCAGGTCTTTCTTATTCAGAGCATTTCAGGTTGGACATCTTTGGACAAACTGAGCCTGAGCCATCTCTTCCTCTCATTTTAAAGACTGATGCAGATCAGTGGATAACTTCAATTTAATGCCTTCTTTATAAAACTCCTTACGTTTCAGCCACTCCTTGGAAGATGAGTAAATAATTTTGCTGGGAAAGTACACATCAGGTATTTTATGAAACAAAGTTCTAGTGCATTTCAGACCCTTAAAATTATAACTGGTTTGCTCTAGTCTCTCTGGGAAATGGCAAGTTCTCACTACGTCGTTTAAGGAAAACAGGTATTTGAATATACTTGAATACACTTTCTTTTTCGGATCTTTCAGGTCTTGGAATCATAGTTATTGGTCTGAGTGTAGTAGTAACAACATTAACAGGTATCTCCATGTCTGCCATTTGCACTAATGGAGTAGTAAGAGGAGGTAAGTAATATGATCTCATGAAAAACAAAAAAATCTGCAGATTTGGATTAGGAAAAGAAAAAAGAAATTAAGATAACTGTTATAAGCAAAGCAATAATAAATAAATATCTTTGGAATGATCTCTTTCAATACGTTAACAGTAAATTAAAATGTATATAATCTTAAACATTTCCTGATAATAAAGTATCAGTGAGATAAGATGAAATAATTAAATGACAAAGTAATATGCACCATTTATGGTGTTATGCAAAAAAGATTTACTGTATCACTATGCAGGAGCTTTAACAATGTGCCACAGAATATGATCTTTCATGCTAACATTGGCATAGATCCAAGTAAGTTAGAATCCGTCTGAAAGTAAGGTTCTTACTGCTGTGTTACTATATTATGTATCATGAAAAATTATTTGAAGGTCTGGTTTTGCATGCTAATAAAAGATTTTTGCAATAGAAAGGCATACAGAAAGGTCTGGAGGCAGACCCAGTACAAAGCAAATTCCTTTTTTTAATCAGTGTTCTCTATTACTATAGGGCAAATAATGGTTATGTTTGTTAGGCTAAAAGCAGAGATTCCCGAGGTATTATTCATGTGTGAAAAATGAGTAGAACCTGAACATTCAGATGTGCTGAAATAACAATCATTTCTGTCTGCAGGTGGAGCATACTATTTGATCTCCAGAAGTCTAGGCCCAGAGTTTGGTGGATCTATAGGACTTATCTTTGCATTTGCGAATGCAGTGGCAGTTGCTATGTATGTAGTTGGATTTGCTGAAACAGTTGTAGAACTTCTTAAGGTAAGTGTAAATCTTTCATGCATATGACTAAATTGGCAGGGTTGTTTTGTGGAGGGTTTTTTTATTGCTTGAGATTTTGGGGGTTTTGGAGGGGTTGGGGTTGTTTTTTTTTTGAGGGGGCCTTTATTTCTAGGTTTTTGTTTGGGTTTTGCTTGTTTGTTTGGTTTATATAATAGATTTAAGTGGTGGTACTTTTTTGCTGAGACTTGAGGAACATCTTTAGCAAAGAAGAAGCTAGTCTGTCTAAACATGCCATAGGGTGCTTCTCCATTATTTCCACCTTATGAATATATTTCACACATTTCTCAACAAGAACCTCAAAATCAGAAAAGGAACAAACACCTAATTAGGCAGCCAAATAACCTCAGCTGCAAAGAGCCAGCCAGAACACAAAATCCAAACACTTGGTTTCACAGATCTCAGAAACTTTGCCAGCTCACTGCTTTCTATTTCACCTTATTACCTGATCCCACCAGTAGGGCAGAGAAAGACTGGTTCTAATAACATTTATTACTGCTTTCAGGAGAGTGATACACTGATGGTAGATGAGTCCAATGACATCCGAATTATAGGTACCATAACTGTTGTCTGTCTTCTCGGCATCTCTGTTGCTGGCATGGAATGGGAAGCAAAGGTAAACCTTTAAAAGTACATAAAAGCAAGCAGTATATTAGACTACTGTAAAGAATTTGTATGTGAGGAATGGTAGACAACAGGTGGAATTTTCAAAAGCACTGTTTCAGTTTATGCTTAATCTTTCTAGAAGCAATAGGAGTTTAATTATTGCTTTCAGTGAAAGCACAGTTACTCCACGCTCTTCCCTGTACATACATTTAGAAGGGAAGAGAAAGCCTGTGCTCTGCTGACAGCTTGATTATATTGATTTTTATAATTCATGACATCATTTAGTGTCTTGGGTAAGTGCCCCTTTTGCCCGTATTTTTGATGCAGAGCGACAGAATAAACAGTAGTAAAAACAATATATGGTTTTAGCACTGTACTCACTCAATTGTACTCACTCTACTCGGCAGAAGAGCACTATTTGGTATCCATTCCTTAACCACTAACAATTTATGTTATTTCTTCACCTGTAAAAAGAAAAGTTCAAAATGAAAATACTTTAGAGGGTGAAATAACAGCTATCAAAATCAGGTACAGAACAGCACCCTTATTTTTACATTCTGCTGTGATGAAGACTAGAACTACTTGTAAAAGAGATCAGAAAAATAATTAGATATTATAATCCTTGAAGTGACAACCCACTGCAACCAAACAAATTTTATAACAATATAAAAATGTCTTACACTTGATAGCAATGCATTAGCTATTTTATTTTGCCTTTTCTTCTAAGGAAACTAACATAAAATTAAATTATAACTATTTATTTCATATAGTTATATAGCCCCCTAGTAAAATCTGCTGTTTTCATTAGCTGATTCAGCTATCTTGATGCCTGGTGTTTAAAAAAACTACAGAAATTAGTAATCTGTCATGGGGAACACATGCGGATAACTTTCTATAAAGCCATCTCCATAGTCAATGCAAATTAAAATAATAAGGGCCATGTTTTTGTTTCTATTAATAGGCTCAAGTTATTCTTCTAATTGTTCTCCTTATTGCCATTGCAAACTTCTTTATTGGCACAATCATTCCTACCAACAATGAAAAGAAGGCAAGAGGCTTTTTCAATTACCAAGGCAAGTAACCTCACTGCCTATCATAAAATAGTAAGTCTGCATTCCTTTTGGCTTCATACCAAGTTAAGGATTCCACTGAAAAAGGTCACAAGATCAGCACCTTCCACCCGAGTTTAAGTAAGCTTGCAAACCAAGGGACTTTATTTCATCTTTTATTTTGAGTCTGTCTCTCTGCTGCTGAAGCTGACAGCACAGTTACCTGCAGCTTGAGTCATTTATATATCAGCAGAGCACAGACAAACCTTTCCACAGAGCTAAGTGCAAGTGATGCAGTGACACTCCTGTCACTTCAGTACAGATCCGTAGCTCTGAGATGCAGACAAGCACATCCTACTGGGGACCAGACTAAGGAAATCAAATTCACTTGGCTTATTATAAGAGACAGTTTCAAACCCAGTCGTCCAGACATGAAAGACTAGCTTATTCACCTCCTTCGTTGAGGAACTTTAGAATCAAATCATGGTGATATGTTTCATTTTCACCTATATTTGCAGCATCGATATTTGCAGAAAACTTTGGACCAGGTTTCAGAAGCGGAGAAGGGTTTTTCTCGGTGTTTGCCATCTTTTTCCCAGCTGCCACTGGCATTCTTGCAGGAGCAAATATCTCAGGAGATCTGAAAGTATGTATTTCATTATCTTCATAATACTAGCTGTAGGCTGAATAAAGAACAAGAAAACAAATTATGAATCAACACTGTATTCAGTTTTAAATCATGTCTTATTCTGGGAAGCAAAACTCTCCCTTTAAATGTGCCTGGTTTATTATTTAAAAAAATCAGTTCACATTTTCTCTCCTAATGCCTTACGGCTATTTACAGAAATTACTGCATTTAGATTTGGGTTTCTGTATCATTTAAAAACATGTTTCAATAACCTGTAATAATATATTATTAATGGTCCATTAGCAGCACACTAAATAAGAGAAATTACATGTGTATCTCTTGGCACTCTTGCAAAATATCCTATAGCATCATCCAAAAAAGCATACCTGTAAAGCCCACATTTGTACTCACAAGAATCAGCAGAGACTGGCTTTTTCTATTCAGGGTCATAGCAAGGGCAGAACAAACAGAGCATGTAATGAAAGCAAGTATGTCCGAATCCCATGTCACTACCGCTGCTCAAAGGAAACGCTGCTGGTTTGCAGATGTGACAAAAGAAAGGAGTCAAAGAGGAAGGGAAAAGAGGTCCAAAGGTGCCCAGTTCTCTTGCTGTGGCCATTCTGCCAGGTGCCCACTCTCCTCCTGCTTTAAAGCAGTGGTAAGATGATATTTCCAATATCTAAACATACTGCTAAATTAGAGACAGCAATTTAGTTTTACCTTTGAGTGCCCTCTAGTTTTCATGACTTTCCACAGTGTATTTAATGCAAAGAGTGTTTAAAGCTAAACGCAAAGCTGAAGTAATTCAAAGTTCAGTAAGACATTGGGTAAAATACCTCCAATAAATGTGAGGCAATACTTCGTACTATTACAGAAATTCAGAAAGGCACCAGGGTATCCGTAACTCAAGTCTTGCAATCTAATACTAAAAAAAAAACAAAAGCCAAACATGCAAAAACACACACAAACTAAAATAAAGTCACCAAAAAGTTGTAGCTTACACCTAGATAATCCCAGCATGTCAAATGAAGTTATCTGGTTTATTATACAGACACATTGTCTTGTAGAACTTGGGGATTCAACCAAAGGTCTCTTACTTCCGTAGTGGCACAGTAATCAAGTTCACTAGATCCTACCAACCCTGACAGCCAGTTCCGTTTCTCTTCCTCACACTGAGGTGCATGTCTTATCTCCTTTGTTTTCAGAGGACTGCTTTTGAAACAGAGCAGAGAGAAAGAGCAGCTATGAGATTCAATTTTTTATTAAAAAACCCCAAAACATTGTACTTCTGCCCAGTGAGACTGAATCAGCCTCACACAATTGCCACCCTTTTATCAAACAAAAATAATTCTTTTTCTATGTACAGTGCTCTCTACACATAGCAAGCTCCCAAACCAGCAGCACTTCCTTCATAAGCTATTTGAAAGAGGCTGAGCAGACCAAGGGAAGCAGTTCTCCTGTTGGCTGTCTGCATTTGTTTCAGTCTGGCAGTAAGTGAATTTCTATTACCAAGTCCTCCAGGCTGCAGATTCCCCACTGAGCATGTTTAGATGCAGGAGACAGATCTAATTAAATTAACCAGCCTCTCCAGAAATCTAAAAGACAAGCTAAGAAGTATTTAGAAAGTGTAACATTTACCAATCAAACTTTCTCTAGAATTCGTTGTGAACAGCTATGTACATGCTTCTGTAGCCACTACACATTCAGGCAGTGGCCTGGTCCAAAGCCTGCTTACAGACACAGCTAGTCTTCCTAGTGACTTCAGTGGGTTTTGGAGCAGGCCTTAAAGTGCTAACAGCATATTAAATTAGTGTTTAGTTATTGATAAAATTTAAAAGTTGTTAAGCTGCAAGAAGTTAAGATTTAATGTTGCAGTGTTTAAGACTGCAGCATGAGACTCCACATTAGACTCCACATGCACATCAGAACTGTGTAAATTAATGTTACCATGATCTGAGAGTAAAAGGTCTCATGCAGCTGAAGTAAGTGACTTTGCAACTATTTTTCAGCTCAATAAATCCCTATTAATTTAGAAATCATATAAAGGTATCTTCAACTCATAGCGCGGCAGGACTCCCTCGCATGCAAATGCAATCAGACTGCAGCATACAGACTCACAATGTTTTCTGGATCACTACTTTGTTTTCAGGATCCTCAAAGTGCGATACCCAAAGGAACAATGCTGGCCATTGTTATTACAACAGTTGCTTACATTGGCGTTGCAATATGTGTGGGTAAGTACAGAATCTCTGCTTCATGTCTTAATTTATACACTTAAAGTTTGAAAGCCTGGTAAGCAAACGAATGAATAACCTCTCTGCTTTTTCATCTTGTGGATTTATTATTTAGAGAGATAGTCGTTTTGATTTTACTGTATGTAAAAACACTAGGGGGCAAGCAGCAGAAACAGAAGTTCCTGTTTGGCAGCTGGACTTTCATATAACTTGTACTGTTACTTTTGCATTCAGTGCAAAAGATTCAGTGACAAAGGCCACTAATATATAGTATCCATGAACATAGTAAAGATTAAAGGAACCTCTGATCAATCTGCTGATCTTTTGCTTCGCATTCACACTGAAAATTCACATGGCTTCTACTTTGCTCTCACTTGTCTGAATGAGCACTCAGGAGTAACAGGGCAACACATAGTTCGTACGTTATATGTCAGACAGAAATCAACTGCCTGTCTTAAAGAAGAGGCACTATATTATTAAGTACTTTACAATGTTAGAATGTGATGTAACAGAACGGATACAAAAGTAAAATGGAGACCTGTACTGAAGCCATGAACTGTGTTGGAGGAACATGCAATTAAATTCTCATTACAGGGGTACAATAAATCTCTGTTCAAGAAAAAGGTTTTTTTCCTATTTTAGTAGTTCAGTAAGAAACAGTGTTGTAAATGACACTCTTCCTTATGAGCAAATACCTCAATGCTGCATGAAAGGCCTGTGGGGAGCTCCCTTTTCTGGGAGATGAATCTCAAGTCTTCCTGACTTTTGTGGTTCTTGTACTTGAGTCAAGCTGCAGCTCAGGTTATTGCATTATTTGGATCTAAATTTTGCCTGCAATTAAAGTACTCATTCTTCATTTTCTGTTACAAATGTGTGTTAATGCATTGTCCTGTTCTCACAGGCAATAGCTGTATTTCAACTTCAGAACTGTCCATTTTTTCAGTGCAATAGTTTGATGTTTTTTGTTTCTGTTTGCATATTGGTTTGCTAAACAGGTAATGATTACTTTGGGACTCAATAGCAACATTTTTGTCACATTTGAAGATACCATATAAATTTATGTTTTGGCCACTAAAGATGTTAAGATTAATGCTCTAAGTTAACTCCGTATGATTCTTTTGGGGAAAAAGACAAACATTAATAAAACCCAAAAGAATATAGGTAATTCCTCCTGTTTAAAGTTTTTTTAACCATTCTGATATCAGTAGGGCTACGACAACTTGAACAGCTGAGGATCTGGGTCTCTAAAGCAACTGTGTGTCCTTGTTAAACAAAGAAGTGTATGTCTATACCTAAAGCCATCACTGACCTGTTTCCTCTGAATACTGGCACTTGTAAAAGTGGTCACAGACAGTATACTTCTGAGTCAGTTAATTTATTATTGATCTCTGTCTGGTTCTCTAGTCTCAGATATCTGCTAGTTCTCATTAGTCAACTGGCTGTTTTTTTTGAAAGTAACAGAATGTAAATATTTGCTTACAGATAACTTGAGAAATTAAGCCACACTAGAGGAAGTAATCTCTACCCAACACAAAATGTTGGTCTTTGGGATGAGACTATGGCAGCAGTTGTATCAAATGTGTGCAGACTAAAAGTCAAAATGTGTCAAGAACATTCACCTGATGTCACAAGGAAGGAAAATAATAATATATCATTGTTTCCACAGGCTCCTGCGTTGTACGAGATGCAACTGGGAACATCAATGATACAGTTGTACTTGGAATGAGCTGCAATGGATCATCTGCCTGTGGCCTAGGCTATGATTTTTCCAGATGTGCAAGTCAGCCATGTGATTATGGGCTGATGAATAATTTTCAGGTTTTAAGGAGATAATACATATATATTCATGTTTACTTATGATTATAAATACAAACATGCAAAACCATTGTTTTCTGACAACTAAGTGCAACAGGACATCCACTTCTGTCTAAAACAAGTAAAAATCTATAGGAATAATCAAAGGGGAAAGTCCCCTGCATTCCACATTACCTTCATACTGCCCATCACTAGCCTTACCAGCACTGTGGTAAGATCTTTACCTTCTCTTTCAACAAGTACCACCCTGCAGTGCATATTGTAACATCTTCAAACTCAAAATCTAGACTTAACAGAGACCTCAGAGCTCCTGTTAGATGAGCAACTCATCTCACTGCTCTTTACACATGGATGTGATTTACCTCAGGGGTGCTGCGGTCACTGTTAAAGGTTTGTGCCACAGTACAAAAAACAGAGTTCTGACTTCTTCAAAAAAAAAAAAAAGTATCCAAAAATAGTTGAGTGAAAAATCAAGTGAGAAGTAAAGGGGTCTTTCTCCTAGGCCAGAGAGAGACTACCTGCCATTTTTATTCTTCAAAATAAAGCTTAGGCAAAGCATCAAAGTAAAGCAGTTCTTCTGCAGCCTGACAACCCCAGATGTCTGTTCAGCCCCTGTGCTTCAGGGCCTGCAAGAGGAGCTCACCACCCACCTGCACTTGCTTTTCAAGTAGTCATTTGCAGTGTTTAAAGCCACTTGCTTTTTTCCCAGCTGGCTCTGCTAAATGACAGGGCTGGGTAACCACCTTAAAAGCGATATGCTGCCCCTGTCATACACTGCTTTTTCTTCCTCTCTTTATCATTTGTCGTGCCCACTCCCACCTCAGTTCAGCTGCCTAGGCCCGCAGTGATCCTTAAAATAGGTGACCTCCCTATGGCCAAACAGTTTAACTTTGTGCATTTATCTTTGCCAGGCTAAAGCCAGAAAACAAGTATTTCTTCATCTGACAGATCTGCAGGATTAACTGGTTTCTTTCCTGGAGTACTTCCTATGCACCAAAAAGCATCTGGCAATCACAGCTGTCCACTTCATCTTTAAGTTTTCTTGTCTGGTGTTTCTCAACAACTCTTTTGATTCAGTAGTTGCAGAGGCCAGTGCAGCCCCTCTGGGAGGCCTGAGAAAAGCCTCATTACTGTACCAGCGCTACTGCTAAGCCAATACATTCAGGCACTTTCTCTTTTTTAGCCATATTAAATAATCCAGAAAAAAAAACCACCAAACCAAAGCAAGGACCTCCAACCACATTTTTATACTTTGGTGCTATTTCCTGCCATTTCCATTTACACTTCTTGCTACAAGCTGACTGTTTACCCATCAAGTAGAGGCTGTTATTTACAGCAATCAGTTAGTAAAGGAGGTGAGAAAATCTCAGAGAGTACTCATCTGCCCCAGCAGACAGCTGTACACTTGTACAAAAATTTGGCTATGCCTCCATTCCTTTTTACTAAAACAGGAATAATAGTATTTCCTTACTTCACAGCTGATTTGTAGCGTATTGAATTTAGAACTGTGAAAAGCAGAGACATGTAGAAACTGAGTACTTAAATGGGTCTGTGATCAAAAGGTGTATCCAAATGCAAGCCTGACTATTATCTTCCTCTCTTTTTTTTGCTTAAAGGTGATGAGCATGGTGTCTGGTTTTGGTCCTCTCATCACAGCTGGCATCTTTTCTGCTACTCTGTCATCAGCTCTAGCATCTCTTGTCAGTGCACCCAAAGTTTTCCAGGTAAAATTAATTTAATTTTACTCTGTTTTACTTCAAATACATACAATTTAGTTGAAGTCTATGTGCCAAATGTGATATATGTTTAAACAACACTTGCAGACTTGGGAGGAAGAGGCAGGGAAAACAGTATGTAGAATGTTCTTCTACAGAAATAGGCAAGTTTTATCACCCTCATAGGGTGGTGATGTTCCTTTGGTCAGAGCTCAGCTTTGCTACAGGATATATGTGTGCTTGTTATAGATAGTTTCAAGGATACTTTCAGGACCACTTCTATCTTCTTACAGAAAACCATCCTGTAAGCACAGGAGTGCCAGCAATATGCAGGAGCCCTCAGGCCCATAAAATTCAGGTGCTGGCAGATATGCTCAAACAGGCTGTCCAGAAGCTGTGTGGGAAGTAGCAGTGTGGACAGGATGGGAACAGAGGGCATGGGACAGAAAGATAACATGGACAACTTACACCAAACCACTGATTTGTGCTTCAGTTTCCCCCAATTTAGATTCTATTTAGCTATTCAGTTGATCTTTTCTTTAAAGCACTGAATAAATATGGAATGGCTGTGATACTGTTTTCCGACTATGTAATAATATAGCAGGATATCACCCTATTTGAATGTTTACATGCCGTAGCATTAGATGTACTTGAAGCACTAAGATAGTCTTAATTTTTGTTTAGCAAAAGCTTAGCAAACTGTCACTCACTGACAGCAAACAACTTCTGATGCAAGAAAGCACTGCCTAACAGAATTAAGTTCTGGTTTGTCTACCAGGCTCTTTGCAAGGACAACGTCTACACAGGGCTCCACTTCTTTGCCAAAGGATATGGAAAAAACAATGAGCCCATCAGAGGATATGTTCTCACTTTCGTGATCGCTATGGCATTCATTTTGATTGGTCTGTATATTGTTACGCAACCACTATGATCTCATGTTCTCAAATGGTATGAACTGATAATTTAAAGCAATTATTAGCTATGGTTGGAAAAATTTCCAGTCAGGTAAGCTCTGACATAAGCCCAAGTGCACTCAGAGCCTTGGTAGCAATTCCATTATTCTTAAATAGGACAAAAAAAAACCAAAACAGCAGGGAGTCTAGTAACATCTCTAGCAATGCCACCACAGCCTCATTTTCAAAGGCGCAGAATAGGTGCAATTCCTGTTCACTCGCTGGAAGAGGGCAGTGCTTAGGACTGTACCACATAAGGCAAAGTCACCAACTTTGAAAATAGTTTTTCAGTTTGTACTGCACAAAGCTCTACGGTAATTCTGAGCTAATTAGGAAGCCTACTCTGCCAAGCCTTTCACACAGTCAGCCCCAAAGCAAATCCCAGTTTGCCAGCAGTGGTGGTAGAAAATCCCTGCTATCATATTTAGGGGATTTTTAAGATTAGTTTTTCCAAGATTTGAAACGCAAACGGTGTGACACTAAGCAAATGGGAAGTTTAGTATAGAAAATTCAGATTCCCATTTAAAAGGCAAAACAGTAAGTTTTAGTTCTGTGTCTTTTGTAAAATGCAGCTGTCCTCTCAATTAAAAATGAATTAATTCTGAAATTTACACCAACTCTACATCGTTAAGAGCCAGTCTGTAGAACCAGAGTATCAGGTACAACTTTGCATAGTACATCATATTATTAAAATCAGCATCAGCAGACACTACTCAATATGAATGAAAATATATCAAGGTGGCCTTAAATTAGTACCACAGGAAAATACCCAAGCTATTTCTGGAAGACAGATTCTGACAGTTCCCAAAAATCTGACAGATTTAATACATCATCAGGAAAAAACTATCCACAGTCTAGGGAACCAGTGCCTATGTCTGACTTGTGTCTGTCTGTCTTGCAGCTGAACTGAATACCATTGCTCCCATCATCTCCAATTTCTTCCTGGCTTCATATGCTTTGATTAATTTCTCCTGCTTTCACGCCTCATACGCAAAATCTCCAGGTGAGTGAGTCTGCATTCACCAGTGATTTAGATGTTGGCTTCACAGCCTGATCTCTGCAAGGCTTTGACTGTATGTCAGAGAAAGCTGCAGTCCCTGTAAAATACCTAAGCTATGTGATCTGAGGTTTTACTGCTCTCACGGAATATGATGAGATTTTATTTATGTTCAAAAGATAAAAAATAATAGCTCTAGTCCTTACATTCCTTACAGTTGTACAGGATGAAAAAGACTTTGGTGGATCCCACTGCAGCAGCAAAGTTCCTCCTCAGGGTGTTTTTACCTCCTTACTATCACACAACGTGGGTGGATAAAAACCTATGCCAACTCTAGCCACATAAAGCAAGCAAGGTATAGTGGGGACCTGTTATGCCTTTCATAAGAACAGTAATTGCATTAGAAGGGAGACTGTCTGAAAAGGAACATGTAGAACAAGACCAGGTCCACCAAAAAGCATCAGCAGAGCTCCACAGTTGCTAGTAGCAGAATTGTAAGGTGAGGTGCAATGAGGTCCTGTTCAAGGTTAGCACATTTGTGCAGCAAAGGAACACATACTGGCTTTCAGGCTTGTGCATCACCACAGCAGAATAATTCTCATTATGTATGATTCTATTTTCATGAAGGGGTGACACCTTAAGGACTAAAGTCAATCATCTGAGCAACACTGGTTTTAGCACACAGGGAAGTCAATTTCCTGCCATTGTGAATCAATTATTCAATTCAAGGAGCGAGGAATACATTTTTGATTTCCAGTGTGAAGAAACTGCAGCAGTGACATTAACACCTCCATCAGCTTCCTTCCTATAGATCTGCACGGTGCCATTTGTTCACAGGGCAGAAAAGATGAGCACTTCGGCTAATTACCTGCACAGCTGAACAAATGCAGATCTGCTCCAGACAGCCTTGGAGCCGAGTAAAAATTACCTCCATAGACTTCGTAGAATCATAGAATAATTAGGGTTGGAAAGGACCTTAAGATCATGTAGTTTCAACCCCCCTGACATGGGCAGGGACACCTTACGCTAAATCATATCACCCAAGGCCTCGTCCAACCTGGTCTTGAACACTGCCAGGGATGGAGCATTCACAACCTCCCTGGGCAACCTATTCCAGTGCCTCACCACCCTAACAGGAAAGAATTTCCTCCTTATATCCAACCTAAACTTCCCCTGTTTAAGTTTTAACCCATTACCCCTTGTCCTATCACTACAGTCTCCAATGAAGAGTCCCTATAGGCCCCCTTCAGACACTGGAAGGCTGCTATGAGGTCTCCACGCGGCCTTCTCTTCTCCAGGCTGAACAGACCCAGCTTCCTCAGCCTGTCTTCATACAGGAGGCGCTCCAGTCCCCTGATCATCCTCGTGGCCCTTCTCTGGACTTGTTCCAACAGTTCCATGTCCTTTTTATGTTGAGGACACCAGAACTGCACACAATACTCCAGGTGAGGTCTCACAAGAGCAGAGTAGAGGGGCAGGATCACCTCCTTCAACCTGCTGGTCATGCTTCCTTTTGATGCAGCCCAGGATATGGTTGGCTTTCTGGGCTGCAAGCGCACACTGAAGCCGGCTCATGTTCATTTTCTCATCAACCAACACCCCCAGGTACTTCTCCTCAGGGAGGCTCTGAATCTCTTCTCTGCCCAACCTGTAGCTGTGCCTGGGATTGCTCTGACCCAGGTGTAGGACCTTGCACTTGGCATGGTTAAACTTCATGAGGTTGGCATCAGCCCACCCCACAAGCATGTCAAGGTCCCTCTGGATGGCATTCCTTCCCTCCAGGGTATCAACTGAACCACACACCTTGGTGTCATCGGCAAACTTGCTGAGGGCGCACTCAATCCCACTGTCCATGTCAGCGACGAAGATGTTGAACAAGACCGGTCCCAACACCGATCCCTGAGGGACACCACTCGTTACTGGTCTCCAGCCGGACATTGAGCATTGACCACAACTCTTTGTGTGCGGCCATCCAGCCAGTTCTTTATCCACCGAGTGGTCCATCCATCAAATTGATGTCTCTCCAATTTAGAGACAAGGATGTCGTGTGGGAAAGTGTCGAACGCTTTACACAAGTCCAGGTAGATGACATCAACTGCTCTACCCTGTCCATCAGTTCTGTAGCCCCATCATAGAAGGCCACCAAATTGGTCAGGCAGGATTTCCCCTTAGTGAAGCCCTGCTGGCTGTCACCAAGCACCTTGTTGATTTTCATGTGCCTTAGCATGCCTTCCAGGAGAATCTGCTCCAAGATTTTGCCAGGCACAGAGGTGAGACTGACTGCTCTGTAATTCCCCAGGTCATCCATTTTCCCCGTCTTGCAAATGGGGGTTACATGTCTCTTTTTCCAGTCATCAGGAACTTCACCTGACTGCCATGATTTCTGAAATATGATGGCCAGCAGCTTCGCAACTTCATTTGCCAGCTCCTCCATTCTCACAGTCCCTGCACTTGCCTTCCAAGACTTGGGTGGTTTTGTCAGAGCCTTTGCTAGTGAAGACCGAGGCAAAGAAGTCATTCAGAACCTCAGCCTTCTCCAAATCCTGTGCAGCCAGCTCTCCCGAGAGCTTCTTGAGGGGCCTACATTCTCCCTAGTCTGTTTTTTATCTGCTACATACCTGCAGAATCCCTTCCTGTTATCTTTAATACCTCTAGCTAAGTTTAATTCTAACTGGGCCTTTGCTTTCCTAACCTGGTCCCTGGCTTCCCGGACAACATCCCTGTACTCTTCCCAGGCCACCTGTCCTTGCTTCCACTTATTATAAGCCTCTTTTTTCATTTGAATTTTCCTCAGGAGCTCCTTATCCATCCAAGGAGGTCTCCTGGCCCTCCTGCTGCACTTCCTTCTGGTTGGGATGCAACATTCCTGAGCTTGTAGCAGGTGATCCTTGAGTATCAAACAAGAGTCTTGGGCCCCCCTGCCCTCCAGGGCTGTATCCCATGGAACCTTCCTAAGCAGGTTCCTGAAGAGGCCAAAGTCTGCTCTTTTGAAGTCCAGGGCAGTGAGCTTGCTGCACACTCTTCTCACTGTCCTGAGGATCTCAAATTTGACCATCTCATGATTGCTGCATCCAAGGCTGCCCTGGAGCGTCACATTTCCAACGAGCCCTTCCCTGTTGGTGAGCACGAGGTCAAGCATGGCACCTCTCCTTGTCGGCTCCTCTATTACTTGCAGAAGGAAGTTGTCTTCTACACAATCGAGGAACCTCCTGGATTGCTTGTGCCGGGCTGTACTGTCCTTCCAACAGATGTCAGGGTGGTTGAAGTCCCCCATAAGAACAAGGGCCTGCAAGCGTGAGGCTTTTCCCATCTGTCTATGGAGTGCTTCATCCACAGGTTCTCCTTGATCAGGCGGTCTGTAACAGATGCCCACAGTAATGTCTCCCATAGCTATATTCCCTTTAACCCTGACCCACAAACTCTCTGTGGACCTCTCACCTGTCCCCAGACAGATTTCCATACTCTCCAGCCTATCCCTAACATAAAGGGCAACTCCCCTCCCCACCTGCCAGGCCTGTCTTTTCTAAAGAGCCTGTAACTTTCCATTCCAACACTCCAGTCATAGGAGCCATCCCACCGTGTTTCTGTGATGCCTATTATATCATACCCCTGTATCATACCATCTGACTCTACTCTGCCACTACTTAACATTTCAGACAAAACCGCAGCCATTTTTCTTTTCTCATTTCCCCCAGTTATTTTCTGCCAATTCACAGTGATAGATTATCATAATTGCAAGGCTGCAGGACAGCAAATTTCTTCACAGCAGGACCCTCCCATTCCCTCATTATAAAGATGATCCAAGATAAGGTTGCTTAGCCTCTTCTTGCCTCTCCTGTGTTTTTTTCCCTTCTCCAAAGAGTCCGCTCTGTAGAACACCTGGCAGAGACCCGCAACCCATGGAGGCTCACTGCTCGCCTCACCATTTCAATTGCTAGCAGGGGATGGATTCAGTACTGCAGCTGAAGAGCAGCAGGAATAATGTCTTTTTAAAGTCAACTGCAAATGATTTTATTTTTCTGCAGTGAGACCAGGCAATTTCCAAGTTTAAGGCAGGTGCACTTACAGTATTGGGATAAAACTCTCCTCTCAGCATTAACTCCCATTAAGAAGTTTTATATATATGCATACAGTAGCCAATTACCTGGAGTTACAGGAAAATCTATTTTCAGTTCTGAACCAGTGAGCTTTAATTTGGCAAAAAAATACATAAAACCAGAATGGCTACTCAAAGCCAGGCTGGACAATGCAGTTGGAAAAGGTCTGTAGTAAAAAGCTTGTAAGACCCAGTACCTCATATGTATAGAAATCTACATCAGCAAACACCTGAAAGTATCTGTTTATTCAGTGCCCAAGAATTTGTACATATCACTCCCACCCCTTCTGACAGAGCCAGAAACAAATTGCATGTGAGTTTGTATATGCAAAAGAATCAATGGATCACCATTTGATCTATGTATTTTATGATCTTCCAATTTCCTCAATTCTCTTTAAACAGGCTGGAGACCTGCATTCAGATATTATAACATGTGGGTGTCACTCTTTGGAGCCCTGTTGTGCTGTGGTGTCATGTTTGTCATCAACTGGTGGGCAGCTCTCATCACTTATGCCATTGAGCTCTTTCTATATATTTATGTAACATATAAGAAACCAGGTAAGGGCACAGATCACTATTGTTTTGTGTATGTGTTATACAGCCAGACTGAATTTTACAGGAATTAATTCTGCTTACAGAATAAGACATTACTTTTTCTCTAATACTTTATATCCCATTATATCCCACTGTATATAATACAGATTAAGATGATAGTATGGTTAATTTTGCCTGTTTAACAGACACTTTGAGTATGGTTCAGGGGGTTGTGTAAACATTGCAGCATACAGGTTTATTCCTACCATGCCTTCACTACATTTGGGCTCTTACTTGAGTATCACTCGTAATATTTTTCCATCCACACATCTGAATTTTGCTGTGTTCTTAGCTGACTTATCTGGGGCCCTCACTCAAAATGTAAACCTGCTGCCCATTCTACAACAAAAATGCAAGCTGAACTGATCATCCTCCAGCACCTCCTTACGATTCCTCAGTAAATCAAGAACGATGGGCACACTTTACTATAGGAAAAAACTGCTTAGTAACTCAGCAGATCACAGGAGCTGTCCTCAGAAATCTGTGTGCCAATACAACACTAGTACAAGATTAGACAGAGTGGTTATTCATATCTAGGACAAAACTAACCCAGGTCCAGATTTCAGTGCTAACCATCTGAATTACTTCTACAGTAGAAAAAATTATAATACAAATAAAAGAGGCAACTTTTCAGCAAAAGATATGCTTTCATTGCACCTAGCTTGGGACAGCAACACCTGGTCTGAGCTTGTGTTATTCTTTTCTGTGTATATTGCTGCACTATCTGTGCTCCCATACCCAATGGGATGGTCTATGGTTCTCTTGCTGTAAATATCACCAGCTGTATAAGAATGCACCTGTGACAAGACAGTTGTCAAAAGCATTTGAGGATATCTACCCTTTCCTACTATATTACCAGCGTCCTTGCTGCAAAGTAGCAGCTTAAAACTTGGTTAAATTCACTAAAGACACTGTACGAAAGCTATCTATCTCCTGCTCTCTAAGACTGTGACTTTTGCTCAGCACTTAGATAAGATGACCTATACACAAACCTCCACTTGCACTAAGTATTAGCTTTGTATCTTAGCATAATGGGACTTGAGCTGCACTCACATAGATCTCAAAACATGGAAAGCTGTTTCTTATCTGTCTCCATCCACCAAACAACTGCACAATAATGAGAAAATATGTATATGCCAAAATGGGTTTTCAATAACAATTTTAGACCTTAATAGAACAGAGCTAATTTGACCTAGCAGTGTTCATCCTACTGGTCTAATCTGACCTTCCTGAAATCCCACAGCAAATACGTGATTTTATACATGGGAGAATGATGCAAAGTTAATGGAACAGAGAAGAAAACAGTTTCTAAACAGAGGAAGCACATTCCCTCCAATTTTTACATAAAGCATGAAATTATTTATTTGCATATTTGTTTTTGCATCACACGAGCAAAGCCTATTCTATTATGAAGCACAAAATGATAGTTCTATATCTATGAAGCATGAGAGAACATACCCTGCTTTGGCTCACACGTAACATGATTGCTGATCTTTGTACAGGGAAAAAGCCCACGGTTTAATACGTATTCTTTATCTTTACTATACGCAGATGTAAACTGGGGCTCTTCTACACAGGCTCTTTACTACGTTAATGCCTTAGACAGCGCTCTGGCATTAACTACGGTGGAAGATCATGTGAAAAACTTCAGGTAAGATTTCCAGTGAACAGTAGAATGGCTTATTCTGAATGAGTACATCACCCAAGTAAACACAACCTCTTTTTTCCTCCTAACAGACCCCAGTGCATAGCACTAACAGGAGCTCCTATGATCAGGCCTGCTCTGCTAGACATCACACATACTTTCACAAAGAACAATGGGCTGTGCATCTGCTGTGAAGTGTACACGGTAAGCTCAACTCATAAAACTGAAAATCCAGCACCAGTGGGTGCTGCAGATCTCCATTACACACTCCACTCTCACTCAGCACACAATGTTCTCACTGGTGCTGATGGGTGGCAGCGCGGACCAGGAAAGAGATTTGCATCAAGAATTAATTTTGTCATAAGTCTTGACAAGAAAGCTATTGGCTGATACAGAGCCTGCTGGCAAATGCCTCATTGAGATGTATTTCAGAGTTCACAGTAGATGAACCGAAACCGGTTTGAAAAAAAATAAAGCATTATAAGGAAAGATTGGTTTGGGTTTTTTAAATGGACACAGCAAGGCTTTAAAAACCCAAGCCAACAAAAACAACTATCAAAAAAAAAAAACAAAACAGAAAACCCCAAAACACAAAAACAACTTAAAGGATTATAGCACAAAAGTCCAGTTACCCAAACTCTTATTTTCAACTTTGTCACTGATTTGCAGCATTGGGTTTGGAAAGTATAGGATCATAAAATGGTTTGGGTTGGAAGGGACTTCAAAGCTCCTTCAGTTCCAACCCCCTGCCACAGACAGGGACACCTTCCTCTAGACCAGGTTGCTCCAAGCCACATCCAACCTGGCCTTGAACACTGCCAGGCATGGGGCAGCCACAGCTTCTCTGGGCACCCTGTGCCAGTGTCTCACTATCCTCACAGTAGAGGATTTCTTCATAAGCTAATCTAAATCTCCCTCTTTTAGTTTAAAGCCATCACCCCTTGTCCTATCCTTACATGCCCTTGTAAAAAGTTCCTCTCCAGATTTCTTGTAGCCATGCTTAAGGTATTGAAAGGCCACAATAAGTCTCCCTGGAGCCTTTTCTTCTCCAGACTGAACAACCCCAGCTCTCTCAGCCTGTGTTCACAGGAGAGGTGCTCCAGCCCCCTGATCATATTCACAGCCCTTCTCTGGACTCACTCCAACAGGTCCACATCCTTACCCTGGAGGTCCCAGAGCTGAAGGCATTGTTTTTTTGTCTCATTAAATTATCAGATGACTACTGGAAGAACCTGGTGACAAAGGCACTTGCATGTTTAATTGTATGGCAACAATCCTTTTCTCTTACTATTAGCAGAAAGGAGAATAACAATATATATTTAGATCTGCTGAGACTTGTTTACATAGTCCAGTCAGGGAAGGACCTTATTCACACCAGGATGCTTCAATGTACCTTAGATATTTTTCTAAGATGTTACAATCCATAGTAGTCCTTCTTTGTGTCAAAATCACTATATTTAAGTAGCATTAGCAGCCTCAGCCCTCTTGAACAGAATGTGAATTATGGTAGCTGCACAATTCTTTTCAAAGGGCTGAATCTCTGCGGACCCTTTTTGGAAATGTATTTTTCTGACTCTCTTCATTTGCTCCCATAGCAGACTAGGTAACTCCTTCAAAATCATTGTGTGATGTACAATACAAAGCCTTCTTAATCGTATTTTATTGTATCATGCAGGGACCACGCAAGCTGTGTGTTAAGGAGATGAACAGTGGCATGGCAAAAAAGCAGGCTTGGCTCACAAAGAACAAAAGAAAAGCCTTTTATACAGCAGTGGCAGCTGACAGCTTCAGAGATGGAGTCAAAAGTCTACTTCAAGTAAGCTTTTTGTTTACAGAACACACAGATGAGTGTTACATCAAAGCATCCCTTCATGTAAAGCACTACTGTTTACTTGTTAAGAAGCCCTGCATGTATGTGAATAATGTTATAAACAGAAAGGGCATTCTGGGGTACCCGTATATTGTATTACAGGTTATTTCATAAAGATGTCTCGTTCTAGGCTATGGAAGTATGAGACAAAGCAGACCGACTCTCTCCTAAATGAACAAAACATTATTATATATATAAAAAAAAAAAAAAAGAGAGGCAGCTACAGGGCAACATTTGTATGTCTTTGCAGCCAACACTTGATACACTTCAAATCAAGTCAATTGTTCAGTATTATGCAGCATATTAAATGTCTGAGAATATTTTTGCATTAATTGAAGACTGAAAATATGTAATATACATTTTCTGCAAACAGAGAAAAGGCCATCTAAATAAAAGACTGCAATATTTTTCTATTACTCTAAGAACACAGCAGATCATTTCCAACAGTCCATTTAAAATGGCCTTAATGAAGGCCCAGAGGCGCTGTTTTCATATTTTCCATCTCCCTCTCTCACATATATGAATATTTAAATATACAGGTACTGAGGCAAAATGTAGAGAAAATTCCCATCCTTTGCACCAAATACACTGCTGAAAAGACATCAGTGTGAACTGAGACAGTAGGGAATTGACTAAAATACTCTGGGCAACAGTCACCCACTGGTAGCCTACCAGGGTTCTTTGTACATTTGCTGAATGAACAGTACAATTGAGCAAGATGCAATATCATTAATAAAGATCCCTTTGTTCTATCAAAGCATCACAAGGACATTTCATCTTGGGTTTATACATTCTCTCAGTAAGAGATCCTTCTGATGTTTTTGAGAACTGTTACAGTCTGATGATCTCTTCCCTTCCATTACTACTTTAACACTATTGCTGAAGTGAACTACTGGACCACAGATAATTCCCTTCCAGCAAACAGAGGAAAGCCATATCATAACTATTGTAACTTAAGGACACCTGCACTGCTCTGCCAACCAATTATTCATTTCAATGTAAATAGTGCAGATGTATCAGCGCTACTCAAAAAAAACCAAAACCCACCAAGGTTCCAACAGTTTTTACCTATTTTCTTTTTGCTAGTAGTAAAGATTGGCAAGTGTACCAACTTGACAAGCTGGTGTATTTGTGGGTCTCCTCCTGAAGGTTCCCAATATGTTGAGTATTTAGATTTTTGTAAAAATTAGGTTAGCTGAATCTAGATCTGACAACCCTTACTTGTTCAGGTTTTAGCATCCAGGCCCAGTTTTGGAGGCAATCTAATGTCTTGACAAACTATTTGTTTTTCCCGATTATAAACTTTACCTGTAAAGCATGCTCAGCTAATTTTGAATAATCTTTTGGAAAGAATACAGCAAACAGAACAGCAACACTTCCTAAGTCCAAGGCAAAAAAACCCCAACATTATATGTTTAAAAAGATATGTCTTCTCTGCATATCTGAAGTGTTTTAAGGGATTTCAGACCCCGTTCATCTATTGAGTATTTCAAATCTGATAAGAGCTTTATGCTATTACGTTAGAATAAGCATACAAACAGTGCTTGAACTCTCTCTTGATTCCAAGTTACTGAACCATTTTAATGAGAGCATGTCAGAAGAAATGCAAATGAATGCTAATTTAGCAAAACTACATTTCTGTCATCTAAAATCATTTATAGTTGGAATGATTTAGAGCTAATCTTTCTGCTTTCTGCATGGGTATGAGCATGAAGGACATTCATGAAATGCAATCTCATTGTAAGTGTCTCCAGAACATTGCTTCAGTTATCTTTTGCCATTACTTTTCATTTACAGTAAATGCATGTGTGTATACCTTCTCAAGCAGTGTTTTAATATTGCTAGGCCTCAGGGTTGGGTAGAATGAAACCAAATACCTTGGTGATTGGATTTAAGAAGGACTGGAGAACTGCCACTGCTACACAAGTTGAAAACTATGTGGGTGTTATACAGTAAGTCCCTTTTTTACTCCTCTTAGACTAGATTAATATAGCATTCACATACAGAATTTGACGTATAGAAACAATGTAAACAAATGCCTACAAATCTGGGTTCATATGTTAGCTCTGTAACAGAGGTTTCTGCCCATTAAAAAAGGCTTCTTGGCTTCACACACCTACTGAGACCTGCTTAGCAAACACCTGGCCCTGTCAAGAGATGATGTGGTTTGACAATGCTACATAAAGAAGCTGCACTGCTGTCAGCAGTGCTTTTGCAGAACTGTATTTTCTCATTTTTAGTCAGCAGGAGCTCAGAGAAGAACAACCCATAATGTACATACATTCTCTTAGGGAATTCTTCTTTTATGCCTAGGAGACAGAGGAAGAGCCTTGCTTCAAATCTCACGTGCGCCTACGGCTCAGTAGGCTCTGTGGGCTGGGATTTAGCTAGGAAACAGTCATTTAGAAACAGGCTTCTCATGGATTCTTCCTCAAAGTTCAGCTGTAAAGCTCCACTGACTGAAAGAATAACTAAACCCAGCCCAGCTTTGTTATGTCCTCTGAGAAAGGAAAAAAAAAAGTTATCCAATGGCAACCTAGATCCTAAAAAGCATTGTCAGAAAGACCCATTTCAGCAATAGCCTACCTGTTCCCATGCCCAGTGATACCCTTATTTTAAGTAAAGGAAGAAAGTTGATAGTACTTAAGCTTAGGCAGTTCCTTCTGCAATTTTACCTACAGCAGCCTAATACATGGCAGTAACACCTCCCTGGGACTGATCTGCTCAAAGTAGCTTTCCTTGCCGACATGCATAATGCTAAAGAATATTTACTCTTCTTTTTCTTCCTTTTCAGTGATGCCTTTGATTTCGAGCTTGGAATGATTATTGTCAGAATTAGCCAAGGATTTGATATATCCCAGGTCCTCCAGGTTCAAGGTATGTGGTGACTCAGCAGCTGAATATCTATGCAGATTACATGCTTAGCATAAGAAGGAATCTGACCAAAACTGAGAGTTACTGCCTGGTTTCTAGAGTAGTTCCTACATCCATAACTTCCACAGTTGCTGCTTCTGCAGTTTCAATCCTGTCCAAAATCCTTGCTGAATCACTGGCAGTGATAGAAGGTGGCCAAGCCTCACACAATAAGGAGCTCTGCACAACAGAGAACTCAATTCCCAAAGCACTTCCAGCACAGGCAGAGACTAACGTAGTAAAATCATGCTGTGCCACAGCAACCAGTCACTCTGGCATGTTTCCTTCCTGCTCTTTGCACATCCTCCTCCCTCTGCCTACCCAAGATCTCTGAGAACAGTGGGAACCAGGAAGCTGCACTTTTGGTACCATCTGTGGAATGCTGAGACCCAGAAAATTCCGACCCATGCAAAAATTTGGAATCCACAGAAAAAAAATCAGCTCTATTTTTCACCTTTTTGTTCATCCTTCCTTAGGTAAGTGGTGCATATCCGAGGGGGAAAGGGAAAACCTCCCACCACACCACAGCCAGTCAGGGAGACATGCCATCTGTGTGGACAAAGCATGCAGGAAGCTGCACCTAAATGAAGGGCTTCCAAGAGTGACATACAATGGTGGCCTTCGATTTTCTTTTTCAGGACACAGAGTTATTGTTACTGGTAACTTGCTCCTCAGGTACCCTGGAGGGAGCATGACTCCATAGAAAAAAAAACATCAGAACAATTCTCCAGGTTTTCAGTACAGTAATTTTCCCACTTCTCAAAAGTTTGGCCACTTGAGCAGACAGATACCGCCTAAACCTGCACATTATTCCTAGCAACCCTTGTCCTCCACAGCAGATAAATGCTTTGTATTATAAATGAATTAGATAAAATCTGCAGACCAGGAACACAGGCGAGCGTAAAAAGACTGACGACTCTTTGCTGCCGCCTGCTGTAAACCTGCCTCCAGCTTACCCTGTTTCCCAGAGACACAGACCACGCTCATACCTCCTGGGGAGAACATGCAGAAAGGACGTTAAGTGCCTTTGCTAATTATAAGCAAAATTAACTCTCCATTAAAGAGGACAGCTTCCAGGATGAGGCAACTCTCAAAAGCAAATCACCTCTTAGAATTAAAAGGCGCCAGAAACTCCTTTAAGAAGCAAGGGTAAATGAACACTCACCCAGCAGACTGGCAGCTTGCTGTGTGCGCAGAGCTATGGGGCAAAACTACAGGGACTTACGGAAAAAAATCCAAACCATGGTTTTTTTTTCTCCTCCTCACTGATACCTGAAAGAGATCTGCCTGTCTCTTTGCTTGATTTGAGAAACTGACTTCTCAGAGGACACAGACATCAGAATACCAACTTTGCAAATAAACAAATGTTCTCCAAGCATTAAGACAAAATGAATAAGAAAGAATTAGGATTATAGGGGGCGGAACAGTATTCTATTATACTTGTTAGATTATTCAGTTTAATAGAGAAACTGAAATTTTAGTTTTGAGTAACCATCATCATGTCTAATAATCAGAAGCACATGGCTGTCATGGATGCTAAAGTAAAAGAAATTAGATTGCCAACAGAGCTAACAGTGCCTAGTTTAGGAAAGGTTTAGTTTCTTTAAAACACAATGTCTCAAATGAACTAATCTCACTCTTAGTTCATGTATTACTCAAATAGAAGCTTTCCTTATGAAAAAAAAAACCTTTCTGCAGGCAAATGCCTGGATCATATTAATTAATGTCTCACATGCATATATTCCACGGTAACACGTGATACCTTTTGCTCGACAGAAGTCTAATATTGTTAAGACTAAACTGTTCTTTTATGTTACTGAATTTACAGAATTGGTTATCTAAATCTTACATCTTTGCAGCAAATGCAAAAAAAAAAAAAACCAAAAAAAAACCAACCCTAAAACATTAGAAACATTTCAACATAGAAACTGATTGCATCTTCAGGATCCTTACACATTTCCGAGTCTCAAAGTTCAATAGAAGTCAATACCTCAGCTTTCTCACTTTAGAAAAACAGCTTTCCTCTTGAGTTTTCAAATTCTTGGGGAAAGAAACCAACCAACCAAATCCACAAACATGACTCAATAAACAGCATCTGCAGTAACGATAAAATAGAGTAATATTGAACTTGATTTGGAAGAGGAAATCTGAGAACAGCTGAATAGCACTTCAGTACACAACATTGCTATAGATGGGGGCACCCTAAGTTAGGGCTTCCAGGGAGGAATTCAGCTTTCTCCTCCCTATTGCTTTGCAAGGAAAAATAATTTTAAATTAGTTTTTCCTCCCAGCAGCTTTATGTTATGTACAAAGTACCACAACAATTACATCACCCCCATCATTTCAGTAAGTGATTTAATTTAAAACAGAAAATTATTTGTTACCAGTTCCCTTACTTTTCCCAATACACAGAGGAGTTAGAGAAGCTGGAGCAGGAGAGACTGGCACTGGAAGCTACCATTAAAGAAAACGATTTTGAAGAAGGAAAAAGTGGCATCTGTGGACTCTTCAGGAAAGCCAGGACACTCAATATCTCAAAACATGAAACAAAAAAGGGTAAGTTCCAAACTGACAACTTCTTCCTGACCCTTCAGTGCATCAGATTGTCACCAATATGCAAACGGGACTTTGACTCCAAGGCAAAAACTCCTGAGCAGCATATAAGCCCCTGGAACAGGACCTACTCTGCGCAAAGCTGACTTGGTGGCCACAACAATGTAATGCAGAGCAGAGTGAGAGCCCTCTGCTGGTGGGACATGGTACCTCATACAAGACAACTGTATTTTCCCCCTCATTTGCTAGATGAGCTTCTCAGCTCAGGCTTATGTTAAACTCCATTTGTCAAAAATAGCACATGGTTATTAAAGTCTGAGGAATATAGAACAGGTTGGGGTTTGTTTTGTTGGGTTTTTTTAATAGCAAGTTTTCAGTTTTTAAATAGAAGCCTTTTTTCCTTCTTCTTAAAGGAAACAGGAATATATGCACAATGTTCAGGGAACAAGCAATCTCACTTTCCTCAACATACACACACACAAACCCAGTACCCAGCTGAAAACCAGGTAAAAATAGCACTACTGCTCTATATCCTAAGCACAATTTCCTAAAAATGCACAAATGAAAGTGGCAAAAGTACTGAAAGCACATATACAACATGCTGTGAAATAACTAATTAACACATAAATGTATAGGCGATGAAATCAAAATTACATTTCAGATACAGTGAAATGATACAGAAATACAGCCAGAATTAAAGGTCTCATTTCACAACTGCTGGGCTGCAATGATAATGACCCACCTGAAGCCATGCCTGCATGCAGGCAAGTGTTCTCAGAATTTTCACCTGCAGAGACTATAACATCTGGCTGTGCACGCAGCTCCCATGGGTATCAAGAAGATCTACAGACTGAAAACATAAAATGTCATTATTCTTTACTTGGCAGACTCCAGTTCATTTTGCAGGCTTCAGTAGAATATATTTTTATAACAATACCACAAGAATGTACACCCCTGTTTCAACTACTCTTTTCAATTTAGTTCAGAAAGGCATAAAGGAAACACAAATTACACACTTCGGCTCTATATATGAGATAGATGATGTTAATAAATATCTCTGCTTCTCCATTTTACCTATACATTCATCTTACCCAGAGTCGTTGCATCTTCTAGACCAGATGCTAGAACTGTAGAGGAAAACCAATATCTGCTTTAGAACTATCCTATCCACACTCTAAAAATACAGGAAACCCAAACAAAGTATTTTCAGAACCTAGCAGATCAGAGTAAAACCTCTAAGGAAGCCTGTCTGCTCCATTTAAAATACTGCTCTAACACAGCCTCTTTGAAACCATCGAAAGAGAAGCAGTAATAAAGCCACAGTCTTCAAAAGATGGAATGAGAGAAGATATTATTAGCACATAGGCAAGACTGTACCTTTTAAAGCCCGCCAAGCAAACAGCAAGAATCAAAGTTTATTTTCAATTAACAACAATCCTCTCAAGCACAGAGAAGTTGCCATATATATTTCTGTTTTCTGCCTTTCAGCCTTAGCTTCACCTGTGCTCTTGCCATACATTAGCTCTTTCTCCACTGTTATTGTGCATTTCAGGGAGCTCTGTATTTCACAAGACAGCTGAGCTTGTAAGTGACACAAAACGATGCCATTTCCTTCTAAAATCTCTCAGATATTTCCCAATTGTTTTCTAAGGCCCCTGTGAACCTTGGGTTAACTAAAAAGATCCACAAAACAAATAATCAGGTAACCCTCCTCAAGATGTTACAGTCTAGCGAGAACGTGTTACACAGGCTTTAGTTTCTGTGTGTGTTGGTGTATTAGAAGTCCACAGCATTTGCACTGTACTTTTTTTTTCATATTTAAAGTACAGAAATTCCCAGAAATAGTTCATTTTCCTAAAGCTTTCTCTCCACTTGGCTCCCTAAAGCTACTTGTTGCCTCACTTGTCAGAAACCCTTCCATGTATTTTCTTTCTCCTTACAGACAGCACCATTAACACAATGCAGTCAATGCATGTGGGTGAATTCAATCAGAAGCTGCTAGAAGCCAGCACTCAATTTAAGAAGAAGCAAGGAAAAGGTTCAATTGACATCTGGTGGCTGTTCGATGATGGAGGTAAGGACCTGGAGTAAGAACTGCAGGGAGAGAGATTTTTATTACCAAATACAAAAACAGACTTGGCAACTTGCACAAAACTGTTTTAAGATTACACAGTCAATTTTCTGTCTGCCTTAAATGTTTTATGAATAAACTATGTCCAACACTGCCAAAGTGAAGGACGGAATTTTTACCACACAATGCACTAATATGATTTTCCTGCAATTTCCTGTGTTCTTCCAGGTCTAACAATCCTAATTCCTTACATTCTAACTATCAGGAAGAAGTGGAGAAATTGCAAACTAAGGATCTTCACTGGAGGAAAAGTCAATAGGATTGAAGAAGAAAAACTAGTGTAAATATATTTTATCATTTAGAGAGTTTGAATTGATGATGAATATAATGCATATACAGCAGGAAGCTGGGAATTTCTCAGCACAACTGGTTTGTTGTGCTGAGCACAGCATGAAGAAAAATTATGTACTTGATAGAAAGGTGCTGAGCTTACAGCACAGCCCTCAAGGCTCAATGTAAATGGCAAATACCAAAGGAAACTTACATCCAGCAATTTTTCCCATTAATAGCTCATATTCCCTTCTCTAGAGCAGTGGTCTGCACTCTATAATGAGAATATAATTAGTTTTATGGGATTTACATGAGATTGTCCAGTTAATAATAAGTGAAATCGCACATGAAGTTTCTCATATGCAAATACCATAGACAGATAGCTCACATAAATGTGATTAACCATGGTAAAATGTAAAGAAGTTAAAGAGCAAGTTAATGAACTTTAAGACCAAGTTGATTTGACTTAGCTTTATAAAGAAAGCCTAGATTTCATCATCATCATTCATATCCAAGCAAATGAAAGGTACTAATATAAACTTATTTTCATCATCACTGTATGATGACCTTTCCTTCCAAAGCACTTTGCACACTAGAGATACAGCCACTTCACCACAGGTGGAAGCAGGCCAGTTTGGGATGGAAGTCAGTGACTGCAGCAGCACCATGTAGTGAGTTAAAAACCAACATATCCAACCAAAATTCCAGTGGAAAACAAGAGCGATGGGTGCAAGGACAGGAGTCAGAATTTAGCCAGGATCACTACGACTATGACACAGTGTCTCAAAGACAGCTACCACAGGGATGCTCCCTTAAGCTTTTGCTTTCACCTAAAGCAAACTTTACTCCAGTGTTGTTCTGCCAGTTGCAAGGATTACCCTAAAGTTAACATATTTCTGTAGAAGAGATCCACAAGTGTTTGTACAGGCTATTCTTATCACTGGGTAAAAAAAGCCTTGCAGCTGCTCAAGCACCTGCAGGGAAGCATTCTCAGCTCCCTGCCCACACTCGACTGTTCAGGACTGAACCGGCGCATAGATCTAGGAACTCAAGTCACCAGAGTTTGAGAGACATTAGGAGGTTTTGGCATCCAATGGGATTTGTCAAAACATGACAGATCTTCACAGGGCCAGTTCTGGCACCTGTATACACTGCTTGTCCTACAAAAGCCAGAGTGAACAGCAGTCAGTACAATTGACAAAAACCTTGTTTGTCTCCAAAAACACTGAAGTGTATGCATTTCTACCTAAATACTAGCTTTCCTCAACAGCATATGCTACCCACCACACACAGAAGCCTTCAAAGAGACAAACCTGGAGGCCAGGTGACTATTCCATTCCATACGTACATTTGACACAATGACATCCAACTACAGTTTCATCCATTGTATTTCCAATTCAGAAATTAAATTTATCTGGACTCTTGCTAACATGGAATTCCCCAAATTAAAACCTTTCCATAGAAGTTGAGACTGTTCTTTTTTTATGTTCAAAACAAGGACTGCCCAGAGGGACATAAAAATTTCTATAAGCAGTATATAGAAAAAAACAGTATAAGCAGTATATACTATAAGCAGTATAGCAGAAAAAACCAACAAGTAAATTCTCAGGTCATATAAGCTTATCATGGTTTGCTCCTAGGAACTTTCTGACCTTTTCAAATTCCAAAGCTTACATACAAAAGCAAACAAACAAACCAACCCACAAGAAAAGCCTCCTCCCAAAAGAAAGGAGAGGGGGGAATACAAGTTCCCTACTGTGCTTCAACCAAAGGCAAAACTGACATAACTAAACCTCTCTACCCTCAGCACAAACACATACAAAGTTATAAACTATTCCTCCTACCAACTGGGGCAGAAAAGCAAATTATTTAGTTTGATGACAATATGTAAAGACAACATATGAATAGATCAATACAAATTCATAAATGAAAAAGATTTGTTAAGTATTGCACACCAACCTTCCAGACCCAATTTTCACCAGCACATACCAGTGATGTATATATTCCATGCATAGAATTCTGATAAGAGAACAGACGCCCTCTCCAAGTGTTGGAGAATTCTGTCCTCCCACATTTTGAGTACTTTTCCTTTATAATTCAAAGCTTTGCAAAAACCTGAAGCACCATTTTCTCCCAAAATGTAAACACCGTGCCCTCTATTTATTTCAATATTTTGTGATTTTCATCGATTGCCAGTTAAATGAGTTATACTACAGCAATCACATCAATCCAGCTCTGTAATCAGAAACTGAAACACTAAGGCATTTAAAATAATTTGTCATACAGTTACAGATAATGAGACAAATGCATTTGATATCTTAACTCATTTATGAGTGCTCTTTGATGCAAAACACTCAAATACAGTTCTCTCTTTTGAGATAAAATGTTCTCTCTTTTGTTTTCAGGATGGCTTCACTTCTAAGCAAATTCAGAATAAAATTTGCTGATATTAATATCATTTGTGATATCAATATAAAGCCCAGCAAAGAGAGGTAAGAAGCATTACCCAAACCCATTACTTAGCAGCTGGCCTTTATCAGGAGCTTGTTTCTTTTATGTTGAGCATTTGAAAAAATTAAAACAATCCACAAAGAGTAATAGTGACAATTTATTACAATCATTTTCTAAAGTACCTTGAGCAGGAGAAACAAACAGAACCACAACCTAAAAGGTCAAAACTAGAGGCAGCCTTTTTCTTTATGATTTGGTAAGACTTAATTTTCATACAGACTAATTAAACACCACACTTATGAGCCACAAAATATAACAGGTATTTTATTATGGCTTTTCATATCTATTTGGTTGCAACAGACTTCTCTTCACCGTATCATTCAGTCAGTCACAGTTCTCTTGCAAACTCTCCATCTTTGCCAACTCAGCCTTCTGGGTTTTACCATGAATTCCTAAACTTAGTATTTTTCTGGCCAAACATAAGCATGCTTCTCCTTTCCTATAAGGACATTATTATAATACTCCCCTATCACCAAAATATAATGAAGGTTCAATGCTTGTCAAAATTAACTTGCCTACAGAATCAATGCTGTCAGGCAGAGGTTAGGAAGTTGGTAGAACAGAGCTCAGGAAGCTCCACCTCCAACTATATTAGCTAAATAAAAAAAATAAAATCTTTATGCCCTGGTTTTAGAAAACATGTCATTATAGAAATTGCCCATTTCTTCTGCTTTATGTAGACAAAAGTAGGTGCTAGATACCTAAAGTCACTTATTAGTGCCCTCCATCTCCCAGTTAATATTTTTAAATATATAAAGAACTGTGCAGAATACTTCTCTTTTTTCTAGTACCATGCAGTGACTCTACATAAATAAAAGCTATCAAAAAGAGTCTGTATCTGGCATTAACAAACCATCATATTTGCTGCATCAGCACTATCTGAACAGAACAAGCAAATACCGTGCCAGACACCTGCGAGACCAGGGCAACTCTCTCCCAGCTGGAATCCCATTTATTTCACTCATATTAAGGGGATTATCACTATTTTAGATACCAAAACAGATATACTCAGGATGTTGACAAAGTCTCTGGCAACTTAGCAGCAGCAACGTTAAATACTGCATGTACTTATATTTATACTGCCTTTAACCCATCTCTTGACTTCCTGGCCATACAGCAAAGTCCAGCCTGTGCCCAGCCTCCTGTTTCAATTCACAGTGATACCTGTCAGCATAAAGTGCACATGGAAATAGATTTACAATAATATAAAAGAAATTTCCTGAAGTCTCTGTGGGACAACATAAACTTTAAACAAAGGGGCAAGAAGGGAAGTACAGAAGGATGATAAGCTTCTCTGGATGATGACAGTCAAAAGCTTCAAGAAATAAATTGAAATTTAGAGAGAAAAATCTCTGGAGAAGTGCAGAAATTAACACAAACCTGATCCTCCATATAGCAAAAAACCTACAGCATCTCCTTCAGCCCCTTGCCACAGGAGATACAGTTTTACTGAAATGGAGAAACAGGTGATATCAGTCAACTAATGCTAAAACAATAATAAAAGCTCAGTATTTATGAGGAGACCCACACTCATTGTTGACATTAGTACCAATGTTCTGCAGTTTGGAGTTACTGTAGAACTCATTTCAATATTTTTGCTACAATTTGAGGAAAATGCAGAAAAATCTCTGTAACTACAATAGGCCAAATGCGGTGTTTAATTATCCTCAAATAACCTTTTAATTACCCTCAAATAACCCCGACATACTGAAGTGGCACAGATATAACTTAGGGCACAATGTAGCAAAGAATAGTTAAAAGATTTTGCACATTTTTCTGCTACAATTATTGTCAGCGAGGCCTGCCATACACAATGTCTGAAATAAGTTAGTGAGTTCATACCCTGCAGCAAGGCTTCCTTTGTAATTCCTGTTTCAGCTGGAAATTCTTTGAAGAGATGATTGAACCATATCGCCTTCATGAAAGCTGCAAAGATATAACAACTGCTGAGAAATTAAAGCGAGAGACTCCATGGAAAATTACAGATGCAGAGCTGGAAGCATTCAAGGAGAAGGTAAAGCCTTGTCTACCTTTTTACATCTGTACCTTTTCTTACACTCCAGATGTTTGAAGCGATTAGTAAGAAAACGTGAAATACCAGACACAGAATTAGAAACATGACACGTACAAACCTGTACTTGATATTTACAAATTGGATTTATATTGTAAACACTTGTGGAGGTGTGTTATGATTGCATTATTCAGCACTCTGTAAGACCTTGGCATGTTTACACAGTATTTTCCAGGCTGATGAGAAGCTCTTCCCACATCAGAGCCAGCCAGCCAAAAGCCACCTCTGAACCAGAAGCCACACAATACTGTGCTAAGCCTGAGCTAATAACATCTGCCGAGAGGTTTATTGAATGCCTCCACTGTTCTAGAGCTTGAACGTCTTAAAGAGTGTAATTCCAAACATTCACTACTTTGGGACATTTAGAACTGAATCCAGACCCTACCACTGCCTCTAGGAATTTTTCCAAAGGCGAGATTTAACATGGATTCTTACCTCAATGGCAGAGTGAAGACTAAACCTGCCCTCAACGCAGGAGCTCTCCCACAGTTCAGAGGCACTCCAAGGCTGATTTTGGCTGACCCACTGGGTGAATTCAAGCCTGGGCTGCTCTTTTAATTTTGTTGGAACATGCCTTTTTAGTAATGAACGGCGCGGCTTCATCAGGCTAATGCCAAAAGGATACTGCAAACTCTTCCACCTTTAAGAGACAAGTTCTCCTGTAACTCACAGAGAATTAATCTAGCAGTTTTATTTATGGTTCCTGTCGGATTAACCTGAGTGCACTGAGAGTTTAGTTATCTCCACTTTATGGTGCTCGTTAACTTCCTCAGTGGAGCAACGATTGTGAGCCTGAGCTCAGAGCTGCTACAGGTCACAGCCTGACATATTAACATAAGCTGAAATCAATGGTGATTTAAGATAACACACTATACTACTGACTGCAGCAGCTGGGAAGCTGACTGACTGCTCTCTGTATTACCCTTTTCATAGATTTGATAACCAGAATAAAGCTATGGTAGTCTGCTGTGGGCAGAAAGCTTTTAAAGTACTCTCAGCATAAATCATCAAAACTTGGGAGTCAGAGCCCTTAGAACATCTCAGTATAAAAGACATCAGGAATATAACCCCCAATAGACACACTTGTGTGCAGAACCATTAAGGATTACAATAGGGGAAAAAAATACATGATTAAACCTGGTCTTGGCTGGGTCACTAAGGAACTGGGAAAAAACTCACAGGTTGAAAGCAGTCAGCAATATGAAAATGCAAAATCTCTCTATAAAATAAGAACAGCAACAAAAAGTTCAGCTTACACACCTGGAAAGATGTGTCCTTTATCTTAAAAAATAAGGCAGTTCTGGGAATTTCATGGAGGACATTCAAAGACATTTAAAATTCAAGAGAGAAAACCTCCGAAGCACAGATAAAGGGTGATGTTATAGAGTGACTCTCATGAGATAACCACTGGCTAAATTAAAAGATTCTTACCTATATAACACATGTAAAAGAACAGCAAAATTTCTGTAGAGAAGGCAAATTTAAGGTCTGGATGGAGAAAAACCAGCTTTTTACCTTCTCTAGGGAAAGAGAGAACAATTTATATGACCAGTTAAGATACATCTATCTCCCATGCTGCAATCTCACTGTACACAAACTTGCCCTGGTCTCTTGTTCCTTATGACTTGTGTTAAGTTAAAAACCTCTGAGGGCCTGAGCCTGACCATAAAGTAATCTTGGCTGAATGTCAAAGTAACAGCCATTTATGTGATCTGTAGAAGTCCATACACATACACAATACATAAAGCAGCTAAGTCTTACTCCAAACTCCTGGTCTTTTGTTTAAGAGGTGAATTTCTGGCAAGATGCTCATTTACACACTGACTTTCAGCTCTGTCAGCATGGTGGCTGGCCACTTAGAAAACAGATGAATTAATACATTAATTACTGTCAAACAATAGCACAAAGGAGTCTCTGTCTAGTTCCTATACCCCATGGCCAAAGAAATACTTAAAAACTACATTTGAGCCAGCTCTGGTACTGCATCAGTACAAAAAAAATTCCCATTCCCAGGAAAACTTACACAGTGGTGAACAACTCTGCCCCCCACATAACTACACTAATCAAGAAGCAAGCTTAGCCTCATATTTTGACATCTTTATCACTCTGGACCACAGAGCAGACCTGGCTTTCAATGATGCCAAAGCCACAGGAGAAAGCAACGGGTACTGTAGCCGTGCACAAGGCACCAGAACTGAGGGTCACTGACCTAACCATTTTTTTTCCTTCTTTTCCTGTTTTGTTTCAGAGTTACCGCCAAGTCCGTCTGAATGAACTCTTACAAGAGCACTCAAGGGCAGCCAACCTCATCGTCCTGTGAGTTGCAAGATTTTGGTTCTAGCTTAGAGAATAATGTGTAAATGGATCCTGGACTAGAGCAACAGAAACACTTGTGTTAATGCACCAAGGGCAAAAATAATCTTTTAAGTATGTTTTGACTGAGAGTTCTCTGATACTACACTGAAAATGACTCTTTCTTTAGTAGATCTTCATATCTTAAAACAAAGCTCTACTCGTGTCAAAAATGTAACACCCAACATGTAGCTTTGCATGTGAAGATTCCATCTGCTTACTTACCTACAGAAAATACGTATTTTTCATTATTTTTCCCCAACTATTAACAACTTGAAGGTAGAGAAAGGATTATTTTGGTTTGCACATAATAAATGGAGTTGTTAGGCAAGTTCTCCTTGGAACTTTGAAGAACTGAATAAGGATGGTGCAATTGCACAAAATTACAAAGTAAAACAAAGCCATTTTCAGATTCAATGTTTTGTTAGAGCCACATATTTTTATACACAGTTTCAATAAATTAGTATTTATGGTGCACAGATAAACCTCTTTAGCTCTATTAATTAAGTCTCCAATAACGGTTATCAGGTAATGTTCACCATAAATTGACCCATACTTTAAAACTCCCATCTCACAGTAATTACAGATCAGAAAGTCACTTGATGGACTGTAACGCTGTGCATGTACTGTATTTTTTCCTTTAAAAAAAGATCATATTATACATGGGTTTTAAGACCCCAAAAATGCTTCTTTACCACTTTAGGGTTACAATCACAAGCAATCCGTGTCCAGTACAACTAGCCATGTTAATGACATTAACCAGGTGAACAAGACATGCAGGATTAAGCCCTAATGGTAGCTTTGTGCTTTATAAGATTAAAACAATATCATATAGTCTAATTATGAATATTCAGAACTGTAAATGAATAGCTGATATTTTCTAGTTAATACTTAGTGACATGCGTGTTATCAGAACTACCCCTGCCTTCATAATGCTAATTTCATTTTTCTCTTTCTAAACAGGAGCCTCCCAGTGGCAAGAAAAGGAGCAGTGTCTGATTACCTGTACATGGCTTGGCTAGAAATTCTCTCCAAGAACCTTCCTCCAGTCTTAATGGTCAGGGGCAACCACAAAAATGTACTGACCTTCTATTCTTAGAAAAACATCAGTGCCTAGAATATCCCTTGCTTGATTTTAACACCTATGTTTTTAATAGCAGTGATTTATTAAAGATGCTTTTATCTAATACAGATCTAAAAACTAATTACTTGACAGAAAGCTTTTCAACGACCCAAAGCAATACAGTAAGGAGTTAGACAAAAACAAAGAAAAAAGTAAATGGTCCCTGCTGATGTTACACCAATACAGGCAAAAGAAGGAAAATCTACATACATATATATATATCTCACATGAGACAGCAAATATTTTGAACACAGAAAGAAGAAATTCCATTAATTTTGAAAGGTACTGAAAATGCTTTTGATATTTATCCCAGAAAGCCAAAATTCACTGCTACAATACAAAAAGCACTAAATCTACAAATAACTTCTTTCAAACTGCATTGTCATAGTTGCTAACAGACACAGGAGGATTCCAGTGAAATGCACTAACCTGGGAGAGAGAAAAAGAACCTGTATGGTATCAATCAGGTCAAAGTCATAAACTGATACAATGCAAGTAGAATACCCATGATGCTGTTTAATTCTAATATTGCCAAATTAAGACGTACGCCTACAGCAGATGCTTTTACCTAAATTGTTATGCTAATTTATGTTAATTCAAATGCATCTAATTAATTGACAAAAAAGTTATCTATAAAAAATACAGACTTTATATGACAAGACCTGATAATTTTCAAGCTCTGACGTGGCATAGAATGCATGATTGTAATAATTAAATGTGATAAGTAAATTTCACAAAGAAAATAGTGAAATACTAAATACTCTCACAATTTTTGCTATGAATATTAGGGTTAATGCAGTCTGACATTATACGTTGGGGTAATATATAAAGTGATTTATGTGATTAGAAAACAACAAAAACTCCATTAGCTGAGTTGAATGCCTTATTTTTTGATTTATATAAGGTATTTCTTTTATTTTTAGACTTTCTAAATAATATTCATTATACACGAACTTAAAGGAAATCTATTAAGTTGTGTAAGTTTTCTCTTTTCTATTCTGCAACATTATAGTACTTTATAATTTCAGCTGTCGATAAAAGCAGCTTCTCTTTTTAATGGGGAAAGCTATATCCTGTGTGTAAGCATTACTTAAATTAAAGACCAATAAAGAATGCAGCTATTTAATTACTATAGTTCTGTAACTCCTTTGCAGAGATCGACTGAAATCTAAGCCCTAGGAAAGCCAGGGGACCCTGAATTTCACTACAAGTTTATTTTCAAGCAGGCCTCATTTCCATCTTTGCTTGAATTATTAGAACTTAACCTGTGGAGGATCTAGCACTCTATCTCCAAAAAAGACAAATATTTGATGCTCATATTTTTCCAAGTTGAACAGCAGCAATTCAGCATAACATGGTAATGTAGCCCAATAATCCATGTTTTATTTTCTCCATCTATTAAAAGTAGGATATGAAATACTGATATTTTCTCATAATGTTCTTCCTTCACTCCTTCTTGCACATTTACAATCAGGCTGAAGGATCATTTTGCAGTTTAACTGCATGACATAGATATACAAGATACTCAAGTTTCCTAGAGATACTGGGCTTCCTGCACAGCTTTGAGCACACCAAATCTCACATTCTGCACCTGCAAAACAAGGAAATTACTCTCGTCCTTCGCAGTGATGCTAGCAACAACACAGGAGCTTGTTGCATGCTGTCAGGTCCTTCCACCTTTGTAGAATTGCAATTGCTACCATCATTTCCATCTCACTTCCAACACCAACCAGGAATAATCTGAATGTGGTACCCAGACAGTCAATGCAAAGAAGAAGAGCTTTTATGTAGACTCCATTTAGGCCTTCTGTGAGTGTATTTCTTATCTGCAGAAGGATCTGGGAGAATTGCACACCTGCATTAAGCTCTTCAATCATGTACACGAGCAGGTATTCTTTCCTAAATATTCCGAAATACTGTAATTCCCAATTGACAGGGAACATCAAACCAAACTGACCTGGGGGACATAGGCAGATTCAAAATACAAAACAGCAATGGCACTTGCAATAGTATTTGCAATTCTCTCTCACAAACACATCACTTGTTTGTAATGTGGGCATTACAAGAATAAATCTCAAGAGACACATTTCTAAATTAACAGCATCAAAAATTAAGTATTAACATACACATCTGTGTAAACTCCTTGCTCTTTGACCATGACTGATTAGAAGATGTATCCATACAACTTGCTAGGATTTATAATGAGCATCACAAACTCTAGACACAAGAGCACTTAACTATCTGAAAGTGTTATTTCCACAAATTCACAAGAAATCTCAACACAGCAGTTTCTTAGGAACTTCTATTTCTTGTTCCTCACCACAATTTCCAAAGCATGTGCACAACCAATTTGGAGAGCATACTAATTATGGACTATTGTAAATTGCAACTTCAATTGCAAAATTTAGTTAGTCCACCTACCTCCTTTCCCACTCTGTAACAGACACTTCCTCTTTTATATAAATTATGCATAAAACTGCTGAATTTTAATCACCATGTTAGTAACTGAATTCTAATTACAAGTTTGACATCTCTAGAAAAAAAAAACATGACTAAAGCTGTCTAGCACATTTTGAGCTCGTATCACACTACCAACTCTGCAGGTTTATATAATGTAGGGTTGATCTGATCAGCCACGACACAGGTAAGAGTAGATAAGGCAACCAGGGACATTAAAGTGTGAAAATACTACTGCAATGAAGCAAGAACAAAGAATATTTTGACTCTTCCTCAAAAGCCTAAGCATTCTGCACAGCTAAGCTTGTGCCTAAGGGCCTTTTAAAATGATCCACTGCTGCTCCTCTCATCAGTGAATCTTACCTTTCCCTTCAGGAGCTCCAACAGGTAGCACAGAAAGCATTTCGCTACAGTTCAGACAATACATTTTCCTTAAATCCTTTTGCAACCACTGGCAAGTTGCCCATCTTGATCACATACCCTCCAGGCACAGTGCTTAGAAATGGTAGTAGGTGTCTCCACCTAGGCTCCAGAACAGCTTTCTTCCAACTGTTACTAGGTTTTCAGTCCCCAACAGAGATTATTGGGGGAGGGGGGCAAAAGTTGTTTATTAGTTTTATTTTTAAAATCAGCAACCCAATAGCACAAGTATAAAATCTACCTAACCAAAAAGGCATCACATTCTGAAGATAAATAACTGCAACTGCTCAAGCTGCATTGTGCAAAGAGCATGCCACTACCATACTTCGCACCCAAAAGAGTTCTCAACCTAATGATCATAATAACAAATTACAAAGCTCCAGCCACTTGCATAGTAAATGTCACCAGTCTTAAACCTCTGAAATTTTCACTGCATCTTTGAAAAGACCTACCAAAAGCCTTCTTGGTTAAGCAAAATGTATCAGGCTACCCTTCATTCTCAGAAAACCTGGCCATTCCTCAGCTTTTGTCTTTCAAAACAATTCCACGATCTTCTTACAAACAAAAGCAGTTTCAGCAACTAATGAGCAGTTTAAAAGCAACAGACATACAACAGGTAACACAAATTAGCACTCAAGTTATAGATACAGGGTAAACAGTTACAGAGTTTTAGCTATTAGTGACTCATTTAATTCCCCATACCTGTTCATCACCTGCTCTCTGGCAGAGATCCCTGATTTACCAGCAGAGCTGGGAGAACAGAATTTGAGCAACCCCCAGCCTCTTCAGCTTGAGGCGCAGTGGTGTCCCTCAAGCTGCTGCTTAACATAGTTTGACTGTCACTGGACTTCAATGAAGTGACTTAGGATCGCTCTCAGGACCTGATCTTTGTCTCCCCAGCAACCAGATTGTACCTTTTGTCAGGACACTAAACCCTTAAAGTGCTGCAAATGAGTGGCTCAGCTCTCAAGTTACAGGTGAGGAAACCTTGTTTGTAACAGTGTGGTTCAGCATACATCAGACCACTGTAAACACCTATCATTGTGGTACCTGGTTGGCATGGCCACTTGGCAGCTATGTAGCCCAGCAAGACTGCATGGCCAGCTCTGCTGAGGGAACATCTCACACTGGGCCTGACTCTGCTAGGAAAAATGGAAAATGTAGCTGTGCCAGCACAACAACAAACAAATACAACAAGTTGTAGCTCACATTCTGCACAAACAAGAAGAGCAATAACCCACAGTCATGCCACTGATGGAATTTCATCAGAGGAAATTCAGTTTCAGATGAAATAAAGCAAGAAGGTTTTTCTGGAACAGAGTAAAAAGCAATGGCAAAATTTCACAGCCCCCACACTGTACAGCAAAACACACGATCAAAAATAGAGCTTCATTATAAGTAAACATCCTCACAGCAGCCTTTTAAATCACAAGCCTTAATCACTGTGAGAAAGACAGCTGTTCTAAGTTACACTGGGTGGGCAATCTGTCTGTTAAAGCCACAGTTTTCTTCTAAGAAAAATGCTCATTCTAACACCAAAACTTCAGTGGGGAGAATTTTATGGATTGTTGTCCTGGAGAGAAGGTCTGTGTTTCTTTCTGCGCACAACAAAGCAGCCTCCATTCCTGCTCTTAATCTAGGTAAAGGGCAGATAATTTCAGTTTGTCTCGTTGTTTTTCAAAAGCAGGAGTAAATGCCCAGTGGAGAGCAACACTAATCAGCAATCAAGAAGGCAGGAATGTTGACCAAGGGACTATTTATCTACAGAAGAAACAGCACATTCCAGGACCCACGCAAACTTGCCCAGACTTCAAGCAGCTGGGTTGTTTTCCTTGTAGAGATCTGTGGGAAAAAGAAGTGTCATTCAGCTAAAACTTTTCTCCTTGACAACATGTTTGGAGGACTCCTCCTATCTATTTTTCATGGACTTTCAGGATACCATAGATGCTGTTTAGAACCCAGCCTGCCTCACTGAGCCAAACTATTCATAAGATTAGTCCTTCTCTACACTGTAAGGCAGGTTGCAGTTGTAACCTCTATGAAGTTCTGCTTGTATAAATAACCATTTATAATTGGGTACTCATGTGATACAACTTAAATTCTTATAAACATCAGTCTGTGGATGGCTTACCTCAGAATTCATAAAATATTCTAAGTAGCTTTTTCACATGGGTCTATGATACATACATACACATCCTCATTCAAGCAGTGCACACTATTAACCTGCGGATGAAGCACTCCATAGACAGATAGGAAAAGCCTCACGCTCACAGGCCCTTGTTCTCATGGGGGACTTCAACCACCCTGACATCTGTTGGAAGGACGGTACGGCCCAGCACAAGCAATCCAGGAGGTTCCTCGATTGTGTAGAAGACAACTTCCTTCTGCAAGTAATAGAGGAGCCGACAAGGAGAGGTGCCATGCTTGACCTCGTGCTCACCAACAGGGAAGGGCTCGCTGGAAATCACAGTATCACAGTATGCTAGAGATTGGAAGGGACCTCGAAAGATCATCTAGTCCAATCCCCCTGCCGGAGCAGGAACACCTAGATAATGTTACACAGGAATGTGTCCAGGCGGGTTTCGAATGTCTCCAGGGAAGGAGACTCCACAACCTCCCTGGGCAGCCTGTTCCAGTGTTCCGTCACCCTCACTGAGAAGTTTCTTCTCAAGTTTAAGTGGAACCTCTTGTGTTCCAGTTTGCACCCATTACCCCTTGTCCTATCATTGTTTGCCACTGAGTAGAGCCTGGCTCCATCCCCGTGACACTCCCCCTTTATATATTTATAGACACTTATAAGGTCACCCCTCAGTCTCCTCTTCTCTAAACTATAGAGACCCAGCTCCCTCAGTCTTTCCTCATAAGGGAGATGCTCCACTCCCTTAATCAGCTGCCCACCGCTGGACTCGGTGCTTGGTGACAGCCAGCATGGCTTCACTAAGGGAAAATCCTGCCTGACCAATTTGGTGGCCTTCTATGATGGGGCTACAGAACTGATGGACAGGGGTAGAGCAGTTGATGTCATCTACCTGGACTTGTGTAAAGCGTTCGACACTGTCCCACACGACATCCTTGTCTCTAAATTGGAGAGACATCAATTTGATGGATGGACCACTCGGTGGATGAAGAACTGGCTGGATGGCCGCACACAAAGAGTTGTGGTCAATGCTCAATGTCCGGCTGGAGACCAGTAACGAGTGGTGTCCCTCAGGGATCGGTGTTGGAACCGGTCTTGTTCAACATCTTCGT